AGCATATGACCTGAGTGCCCAGATAGACCACGTCCCCTCCCAGCCCACAGCGGGGCTTTCTCTGCTATGCTTAGCACCTTGCAGGGCCAGAGGGGCCACAGGAGCGTGGTGGGATTGTTGTGGTGAAACAACAACAGCCTCAGGCTGCCGTCGGTAGTGCTGCAGGTCCTGCGTCTCACCTTTGTGGCCCTTCCTCTCCACAGCCGCGTGCTCATTTCCACAGATGTCTGGGCCCGGGGGCTGGACGTCCCGCAGGTGTCCCTCATCATCAACTACGACCTGCCCAACAACAGAGAGCTGTACATACACAGGTGAGCAGCCTTCCCTGCCCTCTCGGGACACATCTGCCCAGAGTCAGGAGGGCTTGGTTGCCATGCCAGCTGTTTCATTCCTACAGAATCGGGAGGTCAGGTCGCTATGGCCGAAAGGGTGTGGCCATTAACTTTGTGAAGAACGATGACATCCGCATCCTTCGAGATATTGAGCAGTACTATTCCACTCAGATTGATGAAATGCCCATGAATGGTAAGGAAGTAACTCGTTGTCAGTGGGATTGCTGTGGAGGGTACTCCCTAATTGTTGTCTCGAGGTCTTTCGTGAGTGTTAGTTGAAGTTTCACTCTTTGTAATATCCCTTACCTGCTTTGTTCTTTGCTTTCAGTTGCTGATCTGATCTGAAGATAGTGCTCCTGCCCTGGAGATGAGCTTGTGCTCGCCTGTTTTGTACGCTTGTTTGGAAATACTTAGGGGCAGCCCCTGTTTAATGGGGGTTTCTGTAAACTCTTCTCACAGCCCCTCCAGGAAGATTCCCTGGCAGTTCTGCCATCTTTTCTTATCCATGTGTAAATAATGCATTGCTCTGTCCTTTTTCATTAAACACTTAAAACATTTCCCATAAACTAGAGTTTACATTTCATGTGGTGCTGCCAGCTTTTCTATTAATTGGCTGCATTGTTCTGGCCAGACTGTTCACCCCCCTACTTCACATTCTATGCCAAATCTAACTTGAATGTTTGAATACTGGAGCTAGAATTACAAAATCTGTAGAAGAAAACAAAAATCATGATTTTGGGTTTGGCAAAGATTTCTTTTAAAGGATATAAGAAATGATTACAAAGTGGACTCATCGAGACTAAATATTTTTTATTCTTCACTGGACACTGGTATGAAAGAAAAAAAAAACAAAAACCACAAGTTGGGGAGGTACAGTATTTGCAAAGCATATATCTGACAAGGGACCTACGTCTAGGAGCTGTAAAGAGCCTTTATGCAGGAGGTAGGGAAATGGTCCTCAGTGGCCTGTGTCCTGATGCTGGGGCCGTGGGACTGTCACACTGTATGGTGAGGGATCATGAGGCTGTTTCGGGGCTGGGACCTTGAGAGGGGAAGAGGCCCTGCATTTCCTAAACCAGTCGTGGCAAACCTGTGACGCATGCTGCAGTGGGCACACACAGTCAAGTCGCCCCAGCAGCCGAGCATCGGATATTCAGGTTTAATTGCAGTATTGGCACTTTGCTATTGATAAGTGAGTTTTGGGTTGCAGTCTGGGCACTGGGCCTCTAAAAGGTTCTCAATCACTGACTTGGATGGGTGCGCTTTGCTCATGGGAATGCGTAGAAGTCAGTCAGAACTGTTCCTTTGCTTCAGTTGGCTGAGGATGGTGTGATAGAAGGGATGGCAGAGATTCCCAGGAATCATTGTTAGATCTGAGGAAGGGGCTGTGAGCTTAGATCTGGGGATGGCTTCCAGAAGGACCCAGCTGACAGCCGGCAAGGGACAGCTCAGTTCTGACTGTGAGAGAGGACTTCTCCAGTAGCCACACGAGCCAGGAAAGGACAGCCGTCTCACTGATGCCTGAGTTTGGGCTACAGTAGGTGAAACTGCTGACAGCCTGCTCACTGACAGACTGACCAAGTAAGTTTGTATTTTATGGCCCTAAAAATTACAGAAATATGGCAAAAATAGAAAAGGAATCTTCTGATTCAAACCCAACTCACAAGGGCAAAAAATTTGAACAGATGTTCTGCCAGAGGTATATGGATGGCAGGTGAGTACATGAAAAGATGCCAGTCACCATCAGCTGAAGGAGTAGAAGTGGGAACCACAAGGAGAGCCACCCTGTGCTCACTGGAACAGCTGTAATTAAAAAGGCCGCCAAATGCTGGAGTGGGCACAAAATAGCTCCGTACTGTTCTGTGCTGGGGGTGCAGAACACCTCCCATATGAGCTGATTGTCTCCTCTTGGGTGTCTGTCCCAAGATTTGTCAACGGTTTCTACAGAAGCAGAGTAGCCCAAACCCAATCCTAATGTCCACTGGAGTTGGATAAAATAATGGCACCTACCAGAAGAACCTCATGAGAACTGAGGCACGGATGTGGATCAGTCTTACATTAGGCTGGGGGATGTTAGTGAGACAAGTTCTATTAATAGGACCTAGAAAAATGCAGACTACTAAAGCAGACCAGCGGTTACCAGCAGATGAGCTGGGATGACAAAGGGCCTGGGGCCCTTGGGATGGTACAGGCAGTATGTCAGTTACAGTGCCAGCTGTGGTTCTGACAGTTCTTGTGACAGGTACCGCAGCAGTCCAGTGGGTGAACCCTTTCTTCACAACCTGGCTCTATTATTTTGTCAGGGTTGACACGAGCAATTCCATTTTGATTCATACACCTGTTCAGGCACACTGTCCATTGATTACCTTGGTAATGGGGCCAACAACAGAAAGAACTGTCCATTAGAGTTGTTTTGTCCAAGGGCCTGGGCAGGTGTCCAATGTACAGGAAGAGCCAGAATGCTGGGCCCTGTGGGCCCTCGGAGTGGACATTATTCCCAGGCTCCCTGTCCTGCCCTTCCCACACACCCCTCATGTATGGTGGTTTCCAGTGGGTCCCCCACCGTCGGCCCAGGGAGTAGCTACAGGTGGCAGTGCCACGGAGGCTGGCCTAGCCTGCTAACTTGAGCTGTTTCACTGTTTGTTTGGTCTATGGGCAGCCAAATAGTTTGTATCACCACCTCTTAGCCAGCCTTCCCTCTGTGGCCCCCACCCACATGGTCCCAGCTGTGTGGTCTTTTGTAGGGGCTGGGGGACCACTCTTCTAGCTCCATCTGTGAGCCTCCAGTAGGGTGAGAATAGGCATAAAGCCCGCGGGTCCCACAGCAGCCACTAGAGGGCGTCTCTGGAGGCGACCTCAGAGACTTGGGCATCAAGGCCTCTGCAGAGTAGCTGAGAAACCCTGGGGGCTGCGTGAGCACCACTCTGACTCCTGGATGTGCAGGGGTTGGGGACATGTTCAGAACACAGGCCCCTGCACTAATGTCCCTGACAATTCAGACCAGTTTCTATCCCAGCTTCCCCATCCATCCCTCACTCACCAAGGAAAGGGAGGGATCTTTATGTTAGTTTGTACCAAAGGGAGGGGAGACAAATCCCTGCTCCAAGAAGCAGCTTTACAACCTGGGCCCCATGGAGAGCTGAGAATGCTGCAGGACCCTTGTGAGAATTATCAAGAGTTTCAGGTAATTCTGAGTCCTGCAGGTTCTCGGGTCCTGTGCCTGGGAAGCCAGTCCCTGCCATGTTGCAAACATTCACCAGGTCTGAGCACCGGACCTCACTTTGGAAGCCTCTGGGAGCCCCTCTGGAGGGGCTGAGTCGAGACCCCTGCACCAGGTCCAGCAGTGCCAGACACTAGGATGTCTCCACTTAAGTGCGGCAGAACCTGTACCACGTGTGGGTCACAAATGGTGGCAAAGGCACACTGGCTGCCACCAGACTACAGGCTATGTATGTGTCGTGGTTTGTTGTTGAGCAGCCCCTTCAAGGATGGAACCTGCACTTCCTCATCCTGTCTCCTCCTGCACGGGACACTGGCCCAGTGGGGATGAGGACTCCCAATAGCCCTGCAAGGCAGGGGCAGAGGCCAGTCACCCTTCGGGGCTGTGATAGTACAGGAGGTGAGTACACAGATGGCCAGCCTGGCTTGAAGGCCACCACACTGCCAGCCTTCCCTGAATCATCCTGGGAGCTGGAAGTGTCAGGGACAGGTGCCCTCAGCCATCTCAGCCACTGGTGCAGGCAGGGTTTTGGGTCTGCTGCCTAGGGTGGGGTCACTGTCCTTCCAGCCTTTGTTTTCTGTCCAGGTACCTGTATCCCCTGGCACTGGGACCTGAACTCAGGGCCTTTGCATTAAGTTCTGTCCTCAGCCTTTTTACGTTTTTTTGAGATAGGGTCTCACTAAGTCACCCAGGCTGGGCTGGAACTTGCAGTTCTATAGCTTCAGCCTCTGAGAGTTCTGGGATAACAGGTGTGCGTCACCATTCCTGGCTTCACCTCTGCTTAACACTACACATAGCCATGCAGGGATAAAGTAGTATCTGCTGTCCCCTTTTCCATAGGATCACTGGGATGTGAGTGATATGGCTAAGAGGGTTCACAAGGGCAGAGTGGCAGGTGGGGCTCAGGACCCAGCCATGTGGAAGGGCCCTCTGTCAGTGATGACCGGAAGACAGGCATGGCCACCTGTCAGGTGTGTGCTCCCCACATCACACTACTTGTGACGCTCAATTCTGCATAGGCCACAGAGGTAAGCACAGGCCCGTCTCTGCCCCATCAATCCTGATGACAAGACAAGGTGTCCTGACAGGTTCGGCCAGCTCGTGAGCCCAGTGGCTTCTTTTCTTCATACTTGCCAGATGAACCTGGGCAGGAACACATCCTTCCCTCACCTGGGGACAGATCTGCAGCAGAGGCCCTAGGCCCCACTCCTGGAAGCCCTTCCGAAGTCCTCGTGTCCACACAGCCCCAGGCCCTGCTGGACACTATCCAGTCACCCATGCACGGAGATCCTGGGAGGTGGAGAGGGGACATGAGGGGATGTGAGGTGATGTGGGGACACAAAGGGTGCTGCCTTGTCAGGCAGGCGGCAACATACCAGGGACGTCTGGTGCCTCCTTGGTGGCCCTTGGACACCCTTCAGGCCCTGAAGCTCAGGAGGACTGGCAGATGCTGGTTCTCGATGCCACTTTTATTAAACATAACTGCTCAGGGAGCACCTTCTAAGTCTCTGGACTCCACAGCGTCACAGCTTTGTCCTTTCAATGTATTCACAGTTGCTGCACCCAGATGGCTTGACCTTGGTGCAGGTACAATGTCTGTGTCCTGAGTACACACCGTCTGTGTCCTGAGTACACCACCTTCTCTGGCATTGGGGACAGATGGCAGTGGTGGCAGGTGACACTACTGCACATGGTGACAGAGCAGGAGGCCAGACTCACCCTCACCTTATGATGCCCTAACACAGTGGCTGAGGGCGCTGACAGTGGTGTGTGTGTGTGTGTCTTGGACTCAGACAAGGGGCCCAACAGCCGTCCTATGCTCGGTGCCTCCGGCACATAGCGCCTCCCTGGAAAGATGGGCATTGTTGCCACTAGGACCAGCTGATGCGGAACTGCTCTCCCACGGACAGTGCGACGGGGATGGCCAAGGTCTGGATGAAAAAGAAGGACACCTGAGCCTTGGACAGCTGCTCCTCAGTGAGACATACAGTCCACCAGCTATCTGTGCACGGCTGCTAGCCGCTGGCCGCTGGCCACTGCTCCCTCTCACACGTTAGCACTCTATGGCTCAGGAGCCCAGGTGCCATATAAGCAGCTCACAGCCCCATGCTCACGCCGCTGCCACCCAGACGTGGACATGGGGAGACTGAGGTCCTATACCTCCCCCCAGGACGCTGAGGTCCTGTACCCATGAAGTGAGCTTGGTGGCAATGGGTCACCAGTATCCCAAGCACCTCCCTGCACCCACCCTGGGGATAAGAGCCCAGGCTCTGTTTTGCCCTCTTGCCTTGGTGTCAGGGCTATAGGTGAAGTTGGAGACAGGGATGTCATTGGAGAGGACCTGCCGGGGGGCTGTGGCCACTCCCAGGACAGTCACTTTCTTCAGCTGCAGGTCGGCCCCCTCCCCGGTCAGGCGCTCCACCTGGTTCACAATGGTGTTCTGGCCGGCACAGAGACAGAGAGAATACACAAGTGACAGCAGACAGGCAGGGGCAGGGAACACGCCCCAGAGCAAGGACTCGCCACAGCATTGTGGGGGGCCCCCTCTGTGTGGATGCAAAGAGACAGGGCACTTGACACTGTGCCAACCCCAGGATACCTGGCACAATGCCCTGCCTGGCGACAGCAGCTGTCTGTGATCCAGGCCTGGCATCCCTCACCAGAGCAGGGCGGGCCTCCCCTCAACAGCTCCCTCCCTACCCCCAGTAGGCCTAGGACTCACATTTCTGGCCAGGAAGATGACCTGTGTGTAGGCCCCGCGTTCTAGCACCCCGAGGCTGTCCCCATCGTCCCAGAACAGCTCCCCACATGCCTCGCTGCTCGTGCTCAGGGCCACAGCCAGGGCCATGGGCTGCTTGCGGGACTCTGTGGTTGTGAGGCCAGGGGCCTAGGTAGAAGGTAGACACATGTCACGGCCCTGACACTGGTGGTGGCCTCCAGGATGGGCTACAAGGAGACAGATGTGTAGGATGGCCTGAAGTGACACCCTGGCCAAGGCCAGAGGATCTGAGTCTGTCCCCACTTCCAGCATCACCCATCCCTCCAGGAGCTAGGCCCCTGACACACAGACCTCCTAAGGGACTGTGGGGTGTGCCTTTTCCTCCCCTCACCGGCTCCTTGTCTCCTTCTGGAGAGGCACCCTCCCCCCTAGGACCTCCTCTTGAGTTCCCCGAGCCCCACCGTGCTGTCCACACCTCCATCTCACTGTCCAGCCCAGGTACCTGCATAGGCACAATGTACCCAGCCCGCAAGTGGACATTGATGGTATCCAGGGGGGCTGGAAGCATCACCCATTGCCCCTCACTGTGGATGGCAGGGCTGGGGGATGCTGGGGGCGGAAGCAGGAGGCTGCCCAGGGCCTCTACTGGTACCTGGAGGGAGGTGTTATGTCAGAAGGGGCCCAGGGAGCACCGAAGCCCCCATCCTGTCCCCGGGAGCCGTGTCTTCCCATGTCCCCAGAAGAAGTGTGGAGGCTTGGGAGAGACAGGCTGGGTGCGACCACAGGAAATTTGGTGGGATGGAGCCTGAGAAGTCTGGACCTAGGGTCCAGGGAAGTCAGAGGACATTCAGCTTAGCTCAACCTCAGCAATAGCTGTAGGACCCTGGGGAGTTGCCCATACTGCTTGTTTCCTCTTGGAAAAAGTGGTTACTGTAAGGAACTAAGGGACTGATGGGGACGGGGAGTAGCCAGGATTCATACACAGGTGCACCTCTCTCCAGGGAGTCCCCAAGCCAGGTGAGGAGGGCAGCACTGCTTTGGATCACCCCCTTTCAGGTTTTAGGGTCACCTGGACTCACCACCTGCAGGTCATACCACGTGCCCGAGGGGAAGTAGCCAGTGACTTCACTCTTCCCAGGCTCAAGCACGGGCGTGATGAGCAGAGCCTCCCCCCACAAGAGCTGACGGTCCACCGTCCAGGTGCTCGGGTCCTCGGGGAACCTTCAAAGAGGGGGAGCGGGGCATGTAGGCTGGGGCTGAGACAGAGATGGCCCCTCTGTGGCCAGGTGCTGGCCTGCAGGGCAGGTCAAAAAGTGAAGCTAGAATTCCCATCTCTGCAGACCCCAGGAACAGGAGGACTCAGGTTACATGTGGCAGGGCGGGCTTCTGCTGACCAGGTCCACACAAGAGCCTAAAATAACCTTCTCCGTCAGCCTACACTCAGGGCAGCCTATGTCCAGGACGGGAATGAGGCTCGTCTGTGCCAAAGCCATCTCAGAAGCGCCTCTCTCCTTATCTGCACTGTGCTCAATTCTTTTTGATTACCTTAGTAGAGAAGCATTTGTCCTACTATCTGGAAAAGCACAAAAACCTATCAACAACCAAAACTCCCCACTATCCCACAACCAAAGGCTACTCTAATTCGCACTTGGCACATTTCCCATCCATCTTTCAATTACTTCGTCTAACTGAGATCATGCTGATGCAACTCTATACGCGTCCTGTCTGCTGCTCCTGGAAATCCAGCTGGCTCCCAGTGCTGGGCATGCACACTGCGCTGGGGATACTGGTGTCCACATGATGTCTTGAGGCCAGATTTCTATTTGCAAAATTAAGGCATCAATGTAGGAGGATCAGAAACATCCCTGACAGGCACAGATGTGACACTTTTTATCCCTGTGCATTTGAAAACCATCCATACCACTGCACTCTCACTTTTGTGGAGGCATTACAATTTCTCAAGCTAAGTAAACAGTGTCTTTCTGTTTGAAAACACATTTCTCAGAATGTCAGTGACAGTGGTGGAATCAGGGGTGCTCACAGTCCCCTCCGTAAAAGCAACAAGAACATGGGCAAAATGGGCAGCATCAGAATCTGTGGCACTCTGGGGACAATGAAAGGCTTGCAGCAGCCCAGCAAGGGTTTCTGCATGAATCTTGCTAAGAGCAGCCTGGCTAGGTGTGGAAGGTGCCTGGCACAGGCACGTAAGGAGATCCCTACCCAGGGGTTAGCCATCCATCACACCAACCCTGTAAAGCTCCTGTGGCCACAAAGAACACAGGCTCAAGGAGATCAACTCAGGAAAGTCACTAAATAGTCCCAAGCAAGAGCAACATGGAATCCAGGGCTGGGGCAGGTGGAGAATCCAATGATTAGAGCTGACACCATTAAAGTATCCACTTTGGTTTTTTTTTGTCTTTTTGAGACAGGGTCTCCCTATGCAGTTCAGGCTGGCCTTGAGCTCACTTTGTAGCCAGGCTGACCTCGAAGTTGCAGTGATCCTCCTGCCTCAGCCCACCGAGGGCTGGGATTACAGGTATGTGCTACCACGCCCGGCTTTGAAGTGTGCACTTTGAAACCAAAAATTATGAGACATGCAAAGCAACATGGAAGTGCGGCCCATCCACAGGGGAACATAAGCAGGTAACAAAAACCAGAAGCCATTCCTGAGGGGCCCAGGTGTTGCTCTTGCCAGACTAAGTGAACCTTTTCTTTCTCTAGTAGTGGGGATTGAACCCAGGGGTACTCTGAGCTATCTCCTCTGTCCTTTTTATATTTTATTTAATTAAATGACTGATTAGCATATTTTTTATAGTTCTGGGGAGTGAACCCAGAGCCTTTGTATTGATCTACATTCCTAACCCTTTTATTTTTTATTTTGAGATAGGGTCTTTCTGAGCCACTAAATTGCCCAGGCTGTGTTCAGACTTGCAATCCTCCAACCTTAGCCTCCCGGAGTTGCGACTATCAGCATGTACCTGGCTTATATTCTGAGTCAAGATACAGCTAGGCTGCCTAGGCTGGTCTCAAACTTGGATCCTCCTGCCTCAGCTTCCTGAGTATCCAGGATTACAGGCATGTACTACCTACGGTAAGTCAGCTATTTTAAGTATATCTTTAAGTCAGCTATTTTAAGTATATCTAAGGTTCAGGGAAGTGTAAGGACATGACTCAGCAAATAAGAACTATCCACAAGGACACAAACTTTAAAAAGAATAGAGATTTTGAGAAGGGTATAGCTGAAAAAATTCCCTAAAGGGGCTCAAATACAACTTAGAGCAAACAGAAGAATCAGTGAGCTAGAAGATAGCTCTATCGAGACTACCCAGGCTGAGGAATAGAAAAAAAAAAATAAGGAAGAAAAAACCCCAGAGCTTTAGACATCAAGGGTGCCGATACACGTGTAATGAGAACCCCAGATGCAGGAGAGACAAAGGGAGAGAGATTTTAAGAAACACATGACCAAAAAAGTGGTTTCATTTGTTTGTGTGGTGCTGGGAATGGAACCTAGGGCTTCATGCACACAGGCCAAGTACTCTGCCAAGGAGCCACAGCCCAGCCCTGACAAGAAAATATTCACGTACACCTCAAGAAGCTCAGAAAACCCCAAGCAGGAGAGCTAGAAAGACATCTACACTAGGTACATTGTAATCTGATCTTCAAAGGCCAAAGACTGGAAACTCTGGAAAGAAGCAGGTGAGAGGCTACTCATCAGAAACTTCCAGGCCCAAGCCAGCGCAGAGATGCGCTCTAAGCACTGAAAGCAAGCGACTCCCAGCCGAGAGCTCGTGCTGAGCAGAACCATCCTCCGAAACTGGAGAGGTGATGAAACTCTCAGAGCAGCAGAAATGGGCAGCGTTCATCACCAGCAGGTCCCCCTGCAATAACCTGGGGGCCCTTCCGGTGTCGGGTGGTAATCCAGACCCACAGGGAGAAACGAGCAGCAGCTGTGCAGCCAACTCCAGACACAAGTACACGAGACAGCACCACAGTGCTCTCTGTATCCCTTTCTGCTGCTCCTGTTTGGCTTAAAATGCAGCTGCCCCAGGCCATCACTGTACCTGTGTGGCACATGGTATAAAAAGATGGGATTTGTGTGATGCTGATGGCACAAGGGAGCGGGAGGGAACTAACTATGTAGAAGAAAGCTTTCTGTTTTGTTTTGTTTGTGGTACTGGTAATCAAAGGCAGGGGTGCTCTACCACTGAGCACATCTCTATCCTTTTTTTCATTTTTTACTTTTCAGACATGACCTTGCTAAACTGACCAGAAGCGACTTCCACTTGTGATTACCCTCCTTCAGCTCTCCTCAGAGCTGGGATTACAAGCATTCTCCACCAACCCTGGCTATAAAATAGCTTTTTTATACTATTGCAATTAAGTTGCTATTAGTTACAGCTAGACTGCCACAAATTAAGGTGTGAAGCACTTAAAACTTACGAAATGAAACGCTTTTCTTGAAGGAAGTGTGTACTGCCATTCATGTCCCCTGCCTGCCTGTTTCTTTGAATGTGTGTGTGTGTGCTGTGTGCTGTGTGTTGCTGGGGATTGAACCTAGAGCCTCAAACATGCCAATCAAGTTCTCCACCGAGCCCCAGCGCTAGCCCCTCTAACTGGCCCTTAATGGTGGCCTTCCCTATCTGATATGCATCTGTTCTCTATTAGGAAGAGTGACTACTTCCCATTTTACTGATGGCCTCTAACCTGTTTGCCATTACATTCTATGTTTCGAACAGTCTGAATTTTTTCCTAGCCAGAGATTTACCCATCTCTGCTCATTTTCCCATTTCTGCTCAGTGGACTAGTCCTTCTTCTTTTTGGATTAACCCTTCTTCCTGCTGCTCCAGTGCTCAGAAAGCTGTCCGCTCCAGAGCATGGGTAAATGGTCACTTATAACCTGTGGTGTTTTCTACAGTTTGATTTTGACATCGAACCATTTAATTCTTCTGGAACTTGGTTCGAGGAGAAGGCACCATGACATTTGCAGAGAGCTAACAAACCTTCCTAAGGCTCTGTCCTTCACCCGACTGACCCAGGCCTGTGTCGTGTCACCTGCTGAGCTGCTCTTGCCACCCTCCCTAGCTCCACGGGATCCATCCTGACTGTCCTATCCCTTCCTTGCCACGGAGGGGGCCGGGTTGGTACTCCGGGTCTCAATCCCGCTGTCCACACCCTGAATGCCCCAGCCCTGAGCTGCGATCTAGTGAGGCTGGGGAACACTTTGGTCTCACTCAGCTGCAATCTGCTTGGGTCTCCGGAACACAGCCCGTAGCAGGGCGAGGTGCCCTGGTCAGCTCCCCACTCCTGGGTGCCTGTTAGGTATCACTTCCCCACCCAGGTCACTCACTCCAGGAAGAGCGGTCGGGCGACGGTCTGGCCCCTGACGTGGGCATGGTGGAACAGCGTGTAGAGGTAGGGCAGCAGCGCATAGCGCAGGGCAAAAGCCTTCCTCATGGCCTGCTGCGCGGGCTCGCTGAATCTGTACGGCTCTTGGGGCTGTGTGGCCAGAGGGACAAAGGGGGCATCTGAGGTTCTGGTCTTGTATGGTGGGCGCCTTGGTTGTGTGTGGGAGGACAGTGGGATGGGGCTTTCAGTGGCCAGGGTGAACTAGAGACAGAGCCACCAGAAGAGAGGTGTTGAAGGTGCGCCATCCACACAGGTGAGCTGTGTATTTGCACAGCGACAGGATTTGCCAGGGCAGGTCTCACGTGGGGGGCTCCCTTCTGCCCCAGGTTCCCCCGTCCCCTACCGACCGGCCTACCTGGCTGTGCAGGTCATTGTGGTTGCGCATGAAGGGGTAGAAGGCTCCCAGCTGGGTCCAACGCACACACAGCTCCTCTGAGGTGTTGCCCAGGAAGCCACAGATGTCTGCTCCGACCAGGGGCACCCCCAGCAGGTTAAACTGCAGGATTTCTGTGGGGACAGAGGTGACTGGCCTCAGGCTGCTGCAGCGGAGCCAGTTCAGGCCAAGGAGCCAGACAGACAGGGTGCAGAGCTGTGGCTCACTCTGAGGGGTGAGGACAGTGCTGGCCCCTGTCTTCTCCTCAGCCAGCAGCAATGTCCTGCCATGGGGGCTGCTTCCTGACAGCGGGGCAGGCAAAGCAAACCCGACCCCCATCTGTGAACTGCGTCCCCAAAAAGATCAAGTCCCAACCCCCAGTACACAGGAATGTGACCTTCCTCAGAAATAAGGTCTTTGCAGATGTAACTGAGTAACGAGGTCCTTCAGGTTGGCCCTGACCCAACGACTGACATCCTTAGAACAGGAAATCGCCATGTGAAGATAGACACACAGGGACACGGCAGGTAACGACAGAGGCTGAGCTTGGAGCCACGTGTCAAAGCCGCCACCAGAAGCAAGGCAGGACTCCAGGGGTAGCACAGGGAGCGAGCGTGACCTGCCCACACCTTATTTTGGACTTGTGGTCTCCACACTGCAGAGACAAGTTTTGTTGTTTTAGGCCCCAGCTTGTCCTTCATTATTGTGGCCACAGGAATCTAGAAGGGACAGGGAGTCGTCCTGGCTACAGAGGCGTGGACAGGTTCAAGGTCCTCTTGCCCAGAATATGCTCCCCCGTACTGCCACTGGGCTCAGTTTCCTGGGGTCCCCTTAGGAACAAGGACCTTGGACTGGGAGCCAGTGGCGGCAGTGCCCAGCCTGGGGCTCTGCGGAGCTTCTCTTCCTGGCTGCAACTGATCGCGAGAACTTTGCGCCCCTTCCTCAGTAGCACTCAGTGCAAGTGGGAGCCGAAATCGAAGACATGGAAAGGTGTCCTTGCCCGTCACATCTGCCCCAGTGTGAGAAGTTAACTAGCTGAGGCAGAGCAGCCAGCACCTTTTAGAAGGGGGCTCAGTTCTCCTGAGAGCTCAGCAAGGCGGAGTCCCATGGTCACTGGGTCTGCAAAGACCACCCACACAGGAGCAAGGTCTAGGACATTTCAGAGGCCACCAGGCTCTGGACATGGCTCTCCTAAGCTTCCCACGGTGGCCTGGGCACCCTGCATTCCCTAACTTGCTAAGAGTCTGGGCCGTTTCCAGGCTTACTAGGAGTCAACCACATTAAAGCTCTGGGAACAGAAATCAAATTTCTCTTTGTGGGATGGTACTGGGCCTGAGTTGTGCCTGAGCTGGGCAGGGCAAGGGCATCCTGTGGGCTGAGCTCAGACCCACTTTCAGCTGCAGCTCAGGACATGGTCATCAGAAGGGCAACTGGGAAAGAGAAGGGACCGGTGGCTTTTCAGGCAGTGGCCAGGGTGAACTAGAGACACAGCCACCAGAAAAGAGGTGCTGAAGGCACACCATCCACACAGGTGAGCTGTGAATTTGCACAGGTGTGTAGGGCTAGCAGGTCTCATGGCCCATAGGACTTGGCAGTGGGCCCCCAAGCCGCCACTGCAGCATTTGAGCCGTGCTGAGCCCAGAAGCCAGCATGGGAAGAGTCTCCTGCCAGCGGCTCTTACCTGCCACAGAGTAGGAAAGCTGCTCCCAGCTGCTCCACACGTCCCCTGTCCAGTGGCCGGCATACCGGCCGTGGCCAGCAAAGGTTGAGCGGGAGATCACAAAGGGGCGTGTTCCCCGAGCCTTCACCAGGGCCCTGGTAGGAGAGGGGTCACAGAGCCGAGTACAGTGGGGCTCACCTGGGAACCTCTCACTACCTGCTAGAGCAGAGCATCTGGCTGTAATCGCATAGCAGAGCCGAGAGAAGGAACTGACAGATGGAGGCTGGTGGGGGAGTCAGTCCTGCCCCAGCCATCCCAACTTCTACAGGCAAGCCAGCCCATCCCAGCCTCAGAGCAGTCACAGGGTTCTTGTTGGGCGCAGACCTCCCTATCTAGCCAGGGTGGACCAGGATGAAGAGGTGGAGAGCTTCAGCTCCAGGCTGGGCTGTGGGGCAGGAGCACGCAGGCCCCCAGTGGCCCTGAGTGGTCAGTGTCTCCCTTTCTCACCCGCACCCTGGGAGCCCAGCCCCTCCATCAGCCCTGAGCCTGGGCTGGGCTCCCACCAGGCCTTACCTGTTGGAGGCAATGGCTTCAGTCAGGCCGTACAGGTTGTGGAGGTTGTAGTGTGTGGACAGGAACTGGTGGCTGGAGGCACAGATGGTGGCTGCCTGCAGGGTCCCGCCTACCACCCCTGGGAGAGAGGCGGGCTGGTTTCCACGGACTTCCTCCGGGGGAAGGGTGCATGGCACCCTCCTGTCCCCCTTGTTCTGGGAGCCGCTGTGCATGTCACTACATATTCAGGCATGGCTCCCGGAGGTGCACCCTAAAGCCTCCCTGTCTCTCTTGTTGGGTGTGGAGCTTGTCCCTGCTCACAATGGTGGCCCTAGTGGCCCGGTACTCCCTCTGCTGTCTCCAGTGTTTGCAAAGACAGGATGAGGTGGGTACTGAACACTGGGCTTTGCAGACCTCCAACCTGCATCTCTCACGCCCAGTGTTCCCACACTAAGCCTGAAACCCCTCCTCTGAAGCACTGGCTCTATGTGACCATGCTTGTGTCCTAGATCACATCACCCCACCTGGGCCACATTTCTGCCTGGGTTCCCATCCCTCCTGTTCAGGTGACTGCTTCCTATTGCTTTTTACAAATGAGAGCTTCAAGTCTCAATCAAGAGAAGGCGAACCCCAGAAGTGGGCCATTAACCCCAGCTGGCCCCCTGGGGCTGGTAGGTTGGGGCTTACCAGGCAGATAAGGTGGGTTTTCCAGCTCGTTGTCTGGGCAACCATGCTCAGAGCCCCTCACGAAGTTTGATGGTTCATTCATGTCCTGCATGAGAGGCCCAGGGTGCAGAGGGTAGGGCCGGTGCCCACAGGCTGGGGGAATGCTGACGCAAGGGCCATACTTACAATCCACATGCCATCGAAGGGCACCTGGGCATGGAACTCAGACACCATGTCCTGCCACCAGTCAAGGGCCTCAGGGTTGGTGAAGTCAGGGAAGGCAGTGGGTCCAGGCCATACCTGGACAATGAGAGGCCAGAGGGGGAGACGTGGCCCCATCCAGAGTCAGCAGTGGGGCCCTGTGACGTCTCAGCCTCTGGCAGGGCAGAAGCCTCATAATTAGTCAATGGCCAAACTGGCAAACCAGAGCCTCAGGCCCTGGGGTCAATGAGCAGGTCTCTCCCCCTCACCCAGGAGATCCCCAGGCCACCCTGACACATCCAGCCAGGGCGTAGATAGACCAAGGAATTGGAGTGTGGGGAGAAGCACGGTGGAGACAGTCTCATGTGCCTGCTATCAAAGACCCACACAGGACGTGAGTGAGTTTCCCACATCTGTGGGGGTGGGGTATGTTGCCTGGCTCCTCCCTCAGCTGGAGTTCCCCTTTCTCTTAGCTTGGGTACACTCGACTATGCTGAGCTTCCGATGGGAGGGCTGGGGGACTCTTAGGAGGCCCCTAAGACCTCCGTATGCAGAGGTCATGCCTGCGCAGGGCCCAGATGCCCATGAAGCTTGAGGCTCCCTGATAGAAGAATTCCAGGGTGCACCTCATCAGCAACCTGTGCTGCCAGCAGCTGGGCCTTATCCCACCCACTCTATCCCCCTGGACATCACATCTCTGAAGTCCCACTGTCTCCTGAACAGCCACTCTGTTCCCATGGGTCAGACCCTCCAGGTCCTCACCCTACCTTTCCGATCAGGGGCTGCCCAGTCTCATTGGTGATGAAAACTCCCCGCCGCAGACCCTCATCATAGGGTCTGTAAGTGCCAGCAGGGCCTGAGCTGCTGATGGCAGGATCCTGGGGGTGACAGAAACCAGTCAGGAGGAAGAGAGATGTGGCCCAAATCCCTGGCACCAGTCTCTGGGAAAACGAGAACTGAGTGAAGAGCAGGATGGGGCCGTACACATCTACAGCATGCCCATGTGTGTATGCGCAGCATCTGCCTGCAGGTAGTGGCTGGGGTGAGTGTGCCTGGATACAAGCTTTACCTTTCCTCTAAGCTTTCTGGGGTTTCTACAGGAACTTCTTTAATAATGGTTCTTTTTTGTTGTTGTTGTTGTTTTTTAATTCAAAAGTGAGAAGGTCTTCCTTTAACCTCTCTGTTGAGTGGCCACTCATGACTACTGCCCTCAGATGGGGACTGATGACAGATATGGGTAAGGTCCACTCAGTCTAAACCTCTCAGCAAATAAATATGCTCTTCTGAAGGGGGTCTCCATGATGGTGGCTGTTTGGTCTTTTTGGTCCCCAATTCTTGCCTCCTCCAGGTAGAGCCAGGCATAAGATCTAGGCTAGACCAGCCCTGAATCATGTCCCTCCTGCTGTGGGGACAGGCCCGGGGAAGGTTGGCTTTTGTGCTGTGACATTCAGTCCTGCCCTTGGCCACCTTCTTCCCACACAGACAGTTGTCCTAAGGGATGAGCAAGACAGGACACATACCTGTTGTCCCCGTCCACCTCCCTCAGCCTTTCCCACTAGGTGTGACACCAGCTTATTGTACTCCCCCCTTTGGCTTTAAGGCAGTTCAAGTAACCCCAAAACCAGGAAATCCAGAGTATGAACCAGGTATCTCCAGGGACCTTTAAGATGGATGTCCCTGGACAGCAGAGACTAAGTCCACAACCTCCTTGATATTCCCTCAATATCAGCCATGAGCAAGGGCCACAGCACAGGCATCTGCCATCCCCAGATCCATACAGTGCCCTGAAGGGAAAAGGGGGGAAGGGAAGAGGAGGGGAGGGAAAAGGAAGGGAGGAGAAGAAGAAGGGAAGGGGAGGGGAAGGGAGGAAGGGAGGAAGGGCGGAAGGGCAGGGCAGGGCAGGGCAGGGCAGGGCACTCACCACGATCATCATGTACCGCCGGCCACCCTGGTGGAGCTCATGCACAGTAGCTGGGAAGTCTGCAAAGCCATCCTTGTTGAAAGTGAAGTCCCTCCGTGCATCCATGTAGTCCAGGTCATTCCACTGCACATCCTGTGATACAGCACAAGGCCCACTGCTGGCATCTGGGAGCTCTGCTGCCCTGCTCTGGGCTGCCCTGTTCCCCCTCACTTACCAGGGGGAAGTGGGCCCTGGTCATGTTCTCCACCACCTGGCGGAGGATGGCAGTGGAGGAGTAGCCCCAGCGGCAGAGGTGGAAGCCCAGGCCCCAATATGGCGGCATGAAGGGGTGCCCTGCAGGCCAACAGCACTGTGAGCGGAGGGAGGAGGGGCAGGGGCAGGGGCAGGGCAGACAAGGGAAGCAGGGCCTACCCACAACATCCAGGTACTGCTGCACCACACTCTTGGGCTCTGGTCCCAGGAAGACATACACATCCAGGATCCCACCTGTTGACCTCCAGCTGAGGGCTGGGCTGGGCTGCAGGACCACATCTGGGGGAAACAGCCTAAGTTCAGTGATAAATACCCCAGCTGTGAGCCTTGGCTCCCCTCAGATGGCCAGACTCCAACTGGAGTGTGGCTTTCCACAGGGAGCCTGGGAGCAGCCTGGCAGGGTGGGGGCTAAGGGACAGCTGTGCTGAACCCATGTCAGCAAGGCTAGAAAGGCAATGAGCACTGGATGTGGGGACGTGCCCAGGAGCCCCCCATGGGCACTGAAAGCCTCAGATACTCGACTCCTTTGCCAGATGAGAGGCCTCGGCAGGACCTCTAGCTCCGGGGCAGGCCAAGGGCAGAGGGGGTGCTGAAGGCCCCGCCTGGAGACTCACCCATGGCATTGCTGTTTAGCAGGAAGACGCCGTGGGCTGAGCCACCATCCTCCAGAGCCAGATAGAAAGGGTGTGATCCATAGAGGTTGGCACTGGGCTGGGATGGGTAGAGGCAGCACTTTAGCCCTAGGACCCCAGATCCCATGTTCCCACCCAGTCACCCCTCCTTACCGAGGGGGCCAAGTCCCGGTTCCAGAGGGTGACCCTGGTCCATTCAGTTCTGAGCATCAGGGGGCTGAGGTGCTCGGCAAGGCCGGTGATGTACTGAGAGGGCAGGGAGGTGGACAGTTGCAGAAACTGGTCGGCGAAGAACAGGGGAGCCACGGTGGTGTTCAGCCTGCGGGGAGACCAGGCTCCCTCATACTTGCACCCAAGACAGACCCTCCAACACGCAGGCCGAGGCAGCCTGAGGCAGCCTGACCAACTCTAGATGGGCCAACCCCAGGACAGGCAGCTACTTGAGGCCCAATAGCCATCAGCAACTGAAAACCAGAGGAAGGGCCACGAAGGGCATGTTTGGAGAGGCCGTGCCCATGCAATCCAAGATGGCAACAGACAGCAGCAATAAACACCCACAAGATCATATTAGGGGACATGGGCCCGAGAGGGACACAAGGCACAAAGAGTGGCCAATAGCAGGACTATGGAGACCTGGCGCTATCACATGCCAGTGAGTCCCCTCGCCTCTGTGCCTGTTTCTCAACAGCACCACTGACTCCTGAGTTGTTAGGGGGCTTAAAAGTGTTAATAATTAGTTCTGATATGTGGTAAGTGACAAGTATTTGGTAAATCGATAAAAATAAAGCTGAGCAAAGGCATGCCACCTGGAGCGCTGACCGGGTCTCTCCTCGGCACTTCTGGCACTTGGGTGGGTCACCCTTTGTGCTGGGCTGCCAGGGACACTGCAGGGTGCTGGGGAGCACCCCCAACTAAGTACCACAAACTGGGGAGCACCCCCAACTGAGTACCAGAAGCATCTGTGCTGTGGCAAAGAGACTGTCTGCAGATGGCCCAGGGAAATTGGCCCTCACTGCGGAGACCTGGGCTAGGCGCTAGGGAGGACCCTCTGGGGAGGGGACCTCTGAGCCCCATACGGGCACCATGCCAAGATCTGGAGACTGCTTTGGGTGGGCCTCTGTGGGCATGGGCTCAGGGTATCCCAGGAATAGCCAGGCAGCCCCGACAGGGAAGCGGCCATGCAGGGTCAGGGTCCACAGTAGACCACAGCTGGAGGACAGTGCTGTCCATCTCACGGAGAGGTTTGTCTCTCCAAGAGACTTTGGCCTGGGGGCTGCCCTGACACTGCCCACCCAGGGTGCAGCAGGAGGCCCAGGAGCAGCACTCACAGCACCCGGCCATCCAGTTTCCTGCGCACAACCACGCCGAAGGGGTCCTCAGAGAACTCCACGCTATACAGTGGGGATGGCGCATGGCTATGCACTTTCGGGGTCTCCAAGGGTACCTCATAGCGCTTGTTAGCCGGATCTTTGATCTAGAAGACAGTGGAGTTCAAGGCCGGTGGAGGGCTGCTGTTCCTCCCCAGCTACAGTCCCTTCATTCTCTGTAGGACCTGTGGCTCCAGGAAGAGTTCAGGTCCCAGCAAGGCCATGCACTGTGCTTGGTTCAACCTCTCTAACCCTCTGTTTCCTCATCTATGCAGCCAGAACGAAATCACAGGTTACCAGGTCAAATACAGAACATCCAGGAAACTTGAACTTTAGGTAAACTGCTAATGTTTTTTAAATCTAAGTATGGCCCAAATGTTGAATGAGACATCCTCACACTAAAACATAAAGTCATCTTCTGCAGGAAAGGGGTGCGACAGACACAGTGTGTATGGGGTAGGGGAGCAGCAGGAACAGAGCAGATGAAGTCCCTGCACTTGGCAGGCGGTCAGTGGCTGGTGTTCCACTGCTAGGACCTGTGCCAACTCCTACCTATGAGAGGCTGAGATGTCATCCTCTGGAGGATGTGTAAGCCCTGCGTTCTAGAGCACCTGTATTCTGTGAGCTGCACCCTGCGTTCTAGAGCACCTGTCACTGTTCCCAAGGGGCCACTCTACGCACACCCCAGCTCCCAGCACACATTAGGGCCATAGGCACACCCACAGGGGAGTCCACACATCCTCTCTACCCTGCTGGCACAGCCTGTCTCTGTGTGCCTGGACGTCTTCTGGGCCCCCCCCCCCGACCCCCGTCCTTCCCCAGCCACCGTGAAGTGGAGGCGGTTCTCTGTCTCCATGAACACGTCCAGCCGTAAAGTCAGGATGTCCTTAGGGAAGAAGGTGGGGGTAGCACGGGTCAGGGTGGCCGTGTAGCCCGTTTCCGAGGAGCTGAGGTTCTGCAGGCGGTAGCTCGGGTAGCTGGGTGGGAAGAAACACCAGGGCTGCCCCATCAGGGGACCCCCTGGGCCCTTCCTTGCAGGGACATAGCAGCAGCCACGGGCCTCACACTGCTCCTGGGTGACAGCCTTGTCCGGGGCACAGTCAAAGCGGCTGTTGGGAGGGATGTCACACTGTGCTGGTGCTGTTCCAGGCTGGCCAGGATGTTCCCAGGTGTGCTGGGGCTCGGGCCTGCCAGCTCCTGGCTGGTGAGCTTGGGCAGTCTCTTCCAGTCCTCGGGGAAAGTCTCGTAGCTCTTGGGGAACCACTGGGAAGTCACAAAGCAGGATATGCCCCAGGAGGACAACTGTGGCCAAGGAGATGAGGGCACAGACTCCCACCAGCAGCCTGGAACAGGGTGGCCACAGCACAGCCATGGTGGACGTCTGCCTGTCTGGGGCAGTGCAGGCAGTTCCTGGAGGCCTGCGGAGAAAGGGGACCAGCTGAGCAGGGTTGGCTGGAGGCCTCAGGTGGATTCCACAGAAGTGCCTGGACCAATGGCCAGCAGCACCCATGGGACAAAGAGGCCAAGGGACCTCCCCCCAAGGCAATGGCAAGGAAAGCTAAAGGGCAAGGCTGAAGGAGCAGACAAACGGTGCTGCAGAGAAGGGGTGCTACCGACATGGAGCGCTACAGAGAATGTACACTGCAGACAAGGCGCTGCACTCATGAGGTGTTAGAGAGGACACACACTGCAGAGATGGGGCGCTGCAGAGATGAGGCCGACAGAGGAGGGAGAAAAGGCAAAGGGAAAAGACACGTCCCAAAGAGGGGACTGTGGAACAGCACCCACTAAGTCTTCTACAAAGTCACAAATGACATGCACTTAAAAAGTATGGAAGAGAGGGAGTTGTAGCTCAGTGGCAGAGTGAATGCTCAGCATGCACAAGGTCCTGGGTTTGATCTCCAGCACCACTGAAAATAATCAAAATCAAGTACAGGAAGACCAGGGCATGGTGGCACATGCCTATAATCCCAGCACTTGGGAGGTTGAAGCAGGGAATCACCAGAAGTTCAAGGCCAGCCTCCGCTACTTAATGAGACGCTGTCTCAAAAAAGAAAAAAAAATGTAAAAGAAGAGCCCAGTATGACAGGTGACAAGTGAAGTGAGCAAGCTCCAACAATATGTGATATGAGCCCCACTTCTCCAGGAAGGTGTGGCCGGCCATTAAATCTCAGCCAAAAGATGTCAGTGAAACGGTGTCCTTGGAGGGCCACCGCCTCTTTGGTTCCTTTCCTGGTGTGGGGCACAGGGATACCCAGTGAGAAATCTTGGGCACTGTTGAGGGTCACACACTAGGAATGGCCACACAGGCCTGACCCCTCATGGCTTTGCAGCAGAGAGCCCCATGGCCCTCCCTGTGGCCCACAGGGATAGGCATGCTCAGGGACACACGGCATCTGGAGCTACATGGGAATAGGGACAATGAAGACATAAAGCTTAGCGTCTGGGGATGAGATGAACAAGAGACTGTTCCTGCTCTTTGGCTTATAACTATTGTCCAAGCACTGTACGAGGAATGTGGCCTCAGCCCAGCCCCTCCAAAGAGCAGCAGGCACCAACATGGGATAAATATTCGAGGATTTTCTATAGGAATCTTTTAGCTCATTGAAAGAAAGGGGGGTGGGACAGGAAGGCTGGGAGAGCCACCACACCCACGCCAGTGTGACCCCACGGGAAAGAGAAAGAAGAGCGCCGAGTCAAAGTGTTCTAGCAGTAAGGACATGGTGGGGGTGCAGTGGTCAAGGCACAGCTGGCCATGGAGTCGGGGTCTTCCAAGAACAGCCCAGGGTAAAAGCAGGGATGGATTTCAGAGTGCAGTGACTGGGTCCCTTGGCCAATGGAGCTCTGTGCGACCTTCTTACTGTCAGTAAACATGCACACACTGGGGAAAAGTCACACACCAGCAGGGCTGACACATTTTTTTTGGCGGGGGTGAGAGGTCTATTATGTAGGCACTGATTAATTGTTGGCCATTGGTGATGGACTCCCTATCCAGCCCTTTCTTGGACTAGGCAGGTGGGTGAGGTTGAAAATCTAAACAAGCCTTAGTCTTTCTGCCCCCTGGAGGCTCTCCAGGGGTCACTAACTACCTGAATAGCACTGGAAAGACATCACGCCGGAGTTTCTAAGGGTTTGGGAAGCTGTGCGCCAGGCAGCAAGCACAGAGACCAAATACTCTCACTTTGTTCTATGCTACAGAGCCCCAGCTTCTCTGGCCTTGTAGATACTCGTGGTACCTTGTGGTTATGATTTAGATTCGACGGAACTCGAGACTCCAGGTATAGTACAGGGGTCCACAGTCGGAGCCCCCCAACCCTGGCAGGGTCTGGACAGCTGCGTCCTTCGGGAGCGCAGAGGAGGCTCAGAGTACAGCCCCGCCGGAGCTGTGCGCTGCCCAGGGGGAAGGCAGTCCTAGAAATGGGGAGCCCTGTGGGAGGGTTCTCAGCTCTGCCCTCAGCTCCCCGTTCAGAGACAAATGAGGAAGGACTAAAACGGACAAATCCGCGTTCTGGGAAGAGGCTGGAGTCGCTGTCCTCCCCGGCGCTGGGCATGTTCAAGCGCCAGCTTTCTGACACCCGGGGCTGAAGTTTCTCAGCCTCCAGATGCCTCAGCTTCTCCCTTGAGACACGACAAAAACAGAACCTTCCTCGTTGAGTACCGTGGAGATGTGCAAGAATCCGGGTTTTGTGGCCCGTCCCGTTCCAGGGGTCACTGTCCCTGCTGCTCCGCTCAATCTCCCAATTAGGAAAACACTGAGAACTGCAAGCCACCAGCCCAGCCCGCCCAGAGGAGGACCGGGCCCTCCAGCCTGCTTCCAGGCGGCGCCCGCCACTCACCTGAGAGCGCGCGCCCGCCGACAGCGGCTCACCTGAGCGGCCCGCTCACCTGCGCGCCCGCCGCCCCGCAAACCCCCGCAAACCCCCGCAGAGTCCCGCGTAGTCACGCGGCCAGCCGGAGGGGCGGGCTCGCGGGGTCACGTGGCACAGCCCCCCGCGCAGGCGCCTGAGGGCAGGCCCGCCCTGTGTCGCGCTGCGCCCCCTAGTGGCGACGCGCGAGTAGCGGCCGGACATCGGCCTGGGCCGGGGTCGTGTGGCGCACGTCTTGCTGTGCCTGCTGATTTCTTCAGGGACGGAGACCGGAGACTACGCGCGTAGGCAAAGCCCGGCTCTCATTCTCGCGGGCAATGGAACTCGGCAAAGCTCGCCAAGCCGCGCCCTGCCCGCAGGAGCTGGTTCCGCAGACCCAGCCAGGGACGCGTGGGAAAGGCTGAGGCTGCAGTCGGTCCAGACCTGGAGGCACCTTACACTCACTGCATGATTTACACTCCCTTTTGGGGGACTAGGCAAGGCATCGTGACAGCCAGCGATTGTGAAAACTTACAGGACAAGAGAATGTTTTCATCAAGTGAGCAAATGCTCGTATGAAACGAGCACACGTTAAGCATGAGATAGAAAACCTGTCCGCAGATGGGGAGCTCCCTGCCTGCTTTGTACCCCTGGGATCCTCCTAGAAAACATCGGGGATGCCCCACTTCCAAACTGTATTTCTGCACTTTTAGAATAAATATGTCTTCCTGCCATAGTTAGAAAGAGGTATTTTATTCTGCTCCAGAGTGAAAGTGAAGTTCTTTTGCAGAACTTTTTCCCGTTCACCTTCGGAGAAGCCACAGGGTAACTGAGAAACAAGCCAGCGTGTGGGAGGAGGAGAGAGAGGTTGGCAGGTGGAGGACAGGGCCAGCTTGCTGAAGTCCCGTTACAGCCTACAGGAGCAGAGCACAGGCCAGTGCTCGGCTTCCTAGGAACCCCTGAGGTCTTGCACTCTGGGCCGTGGGATGGGAAGGCCAAGTTCCCTGCAGGCAGGGCATGGGTGCCTGGAAGGTGGCTGGGGCCCTCAGTTGTGCCCTAGCAGAGTGCTAGGAATGAAGTGGCCTCCAGTGTGCGCCTACCAGTCCCATCCTTAGCCTCCGTGCAGCCTGCTGTTCCCCTAAAGGCTGGTCCTGGGGAGCTACCACCCACCACTTTTTACTTGGACAAGCCCACCCAAGGGAGAGTGTGCGGGTATGCTGATAGAAAGGGGACAGTAAGGCTCACCCAGTGCTGCCAGAGACACTGGGTTCTACTTGGTTTAAACTGAGTGGCTGAGAAGTAATTCCTCTGGGGCTGGCCTGTCTGTTTCTCATAAATGGTGTCCTTCTAAGGGGACACAGATCATAAGTCCCTGATAATACTCCAAATTCTGGCAGTCTTCTTGGGGGTTTAGTTCTGGAAATGGGGCATCCCCACTTTTTCCTAGGAGGGCCCCAGGGACTCCAGCTTGCTGGTGATCTTCTGGCTGATGGGGCGCAGGGCCTCCAGGAACTGCGGGTGCTCCTCCTGCACGCGGGCCAAGATGGTGCTCAGCAAGGAGAGCCGGCCCTCCAAGCGTTTGTGCTCCAGCATCATGGACTTCTGGGAGCGGAACAGGAACGTGTACTTCCCATCCACCACGGCCTGCAGGTGCTTGAGGCGCGTCTGTAGGGTCACAATCTCTGAAAGGTTCTGGGTGGGAGAGGAACCCTGTATCAGGTCGTGAACATCAGAGGGACACCTGCCAACCCCTTTCCCCCTCCAGCTCACCTGGGAGGGAGACCAGGGAGGAAAACTATGCATTGGAGAGGGAGAAGAGGATTTCCAGATCCCAGGGACAGCCAGATTTCCATTGCCTGGGAGCCTCGTTCATCCATCTGAGAGAGACCTTTTTTTGTACTGGAGACTGAAATCTGTGGTCTCAGTCCCTTTTCTTCGGGACCCATTTTTAAAATTTATTTATTTATTTATTTATTTATTTATTGCGGTATTGGTGATTGAACCCATGACCTTTGTACTGAGTTACATACCCAGCCCCCTTTTATTTATTTATTTTTTAATTTTTAGACTGGGTCTTGCTGAGTTGCTAAGTTGCCCAGGCTGGGCTTGAGCTTAATGATCCTCCTGCCTCAGCCTCCCAGAGCACTGGGATTACAGGCATGCACTATCATGCCTGGATGCAGGGAGACGTGTGTGTGTGTGTGTGTGTGTGTGTGTGTGTGTTACTAGGGATTCAACTCAGGGTCTTGTGCATGCTAGGCAAGCACTCTACCATTGAGCTATATCCTCAGCCCAGGGAGACATTTTTGATTCCACTGTATATCAAGACTGATGCTGGACATGTTCCTGTCTTGGCTGACCAGGCCTAAATCTTGAGAGTCACACCTGATCCTCCCCTTTATGCTCACATGCAGCCAGGCCCTCAGGAAGTTCAGCTGGGATCTCCACCCAGCTTCTGAATTATGTAGAGTGGTGGTCACCTTCGTCCATGCACCCCACTCTCCTGAAGAGCCATGAGCTTCAAGCAGCCTCCTGTGTGCACCCTGGGCCCTTGACCCCCGACATCCTGTGGGATCCCAGGACATCTGTGGCCCCCAGCCCTCCACTGCCTCCTCTCAACCCCTACAACAAAAACCCAAAGTCAGGACAGTGCTCCTGCTGAAGCTGCCGCAGTCCTGCAGAGCCCTCTTTGTCCTGCTGTCCCCTGTGCCTGGGGCTGCTTCTCCCTTGCCTCTTTTGAGTCTCTTGTCCTCTCAGTGCAGCCTTCCCAGGCCACCACACTCAAATTTCATTCCCCTGTCCCCCGCTGATGCCCCAACATGGTTTCTCTGCTTATTTTTCTTCAAAGGATTTACCCTCATCTGACATATCTTGCCTTTTTTCTTATCAAGTGTGCTTACCCTCCGCCCTCCTTCCCGTGGGATGTAATCTCTGTGAGGGCAGGGAGTTCTGACTTATCTGTCCTGTAGTCCTAGCATCCAGATTGGTGCCTGGTCCCTAACTAATAGTGATCAATATTTGCTGAGTGGGGGAATTACAAGACCATAGAAACTTAAACACCAGTGGTGCTGCCAATAGCCTGGGAGACACTGGCTTCTCCTGGGTGTGTCCCCTCCTTCAGCCCAGGAGTCTCAGTTCGAGGGACCTCTTGGGACTCTTACCTGTCGCTTGAGGGCTGTGAGCCGCCTGATGTCAGCTTCAAGCACGTCAGTGTCCACCTGCATCCTGGACAGCTTCTCCTGCTTCTCCAGGAGGGAGCTGTTCAACAGTTTTTGAGTCTCTTCCAGTTCTAAGATGGTCTTGTTGCACTGCTCGGTGGCCTGGTAAATAGACAGCACTTGCTGGGTCCCTGCACCCCATCTGCTTAGCAGACAGAGACAGGCTAAGGGCTCGCAGGTATCTTCTGGACATGCACTGGGCTGGGAATAGCTCAGCAGCCTCGAGCCAAGGCAGGGGCTGAGGCTAGGTCTGGTGCATGAGGGAGAGGGGTGTGCCAGTGGAACGGCTTCCAGTGGGGTGGGGGCCCCCTGCAGAGCCTTGGGACACATGGTGCCTCAGGAGGTGTCTGCAGCAGCGGGTAGCAGGGATGCAGCCAGATGCCATCAAGGAAGGCAAAGCTATTGAGAAAGGACGATTAGCAGCAATTGGCAGCTGATGTGGGGTCCAGAAAAAGATGAAGACAGTGACTCTCCAGGGCAGGCTGGGGACACAGAACTTCAGGATGGGATGAGGAAAAGGCCCGTTTGTGCACACGAGGAGGGGCTCGTGTCGGGAGTGGCCCATGGGGCAGGAGGCCTTGGACACTGCCTGGTGGGGAGCTGGGCAGGGAATGTGAGGGGTCCTGCTGGGGGACACAGGAGGCTCCACATGAGTGTCTGGGGGCCTCTGGGACCATGTTCTTAGATGTCCCCATGGCCACCACACTGTGACTAGTCATGGCTGCTGTTGCCTTTAACCTTCACCTCCGCAGGAGGCAGTTCCTGTTTCTTCTGCCCAGCAGACGCGGAAAGGCTTTCCGTGCCCACAACCACACAGCTGGTTAGCGGAGCGGTGGGGCCAGCCCTGGAAGTTTGAGCCCAGCTTCTGGCCTGGTGATGGCTAGGGGAGGGGGCACTGGGGCCGCACTGACCTGTCGTCTCCCAGGGCAATGTACAGAGAACATGCTCAGTGCACATGGCCGGATGGACAAGGATGCAGGCTGTGGTGGTGCCCATTTGCTCCCAGCAGGCTGTCCCCACCCAGCCCCCACTGGGAGTTACACCCTTGCCCACGTGCTGTGTTTCCCAGACGTTACTTCTCTTATGCAAAAGGCAAACACAGCTGCCTCGGGCCCCAGGCAAAGTGTGCTAGACCCCAAGACACATTTCTGGGGGCAGGCCCAGGATGACGCCAGGCAAGGGGTACTCAGGAGGCCCTGCTGAGCACAGGTAATGTTGATGGTCACCACATCTCCACCCAGCAGGATCCAGCACGCTGGTCACATGTCCCCTTACAGAGGGTGGTCACAGCCCAGAAGCCACCCACAGTGGCTTCTGTCACCAGGGCAGGGTGGATTGGCTAGCCTCCAAAGCTGGCCTCCTCCATCCCTGCCACCCCCACTGTCATGTCTGTGTCACAGCTGTGTTGCAGCAGCACGGACTACAGCCCATGGGAATGAGGAACAGAGAAGACTCGGCCATGGGGACTGGACGGGTGGGAGCCATTGTGTGACTACAGGCAGGAGTGGGACCCCAGGCAGCAGAAAAGGGGGAAGAAGTGTCCTCAGGCCAGTCATGGGGGCGGTATAGTGGTCACTCACAAAGGGAAGGGGGATACCAGCAGGGACATCATGATGCAGAGCAGACGTGGAGTCAGGAGCACTTCTCCAGAATATTCCTTGGGTCATGGAGGTAGAAAAAGACCAGGTAAATCCCATGTTTTCTTGCTGCTGCTCACCTTGTGGGTTTCCCTGATTTTCCGTTGCAGCTCAATCTGCTGGTGGTGGAAGTCCATTCGAGTGAGTGCCTTCTTGTCCATCTTGCTCTGCCCTTCAGCCCGGGTTATGATGGTCTCTCTGCGGGCCACCACCATCTCCATGTCCCGGATCATCTTCTCCTGCTGCTTCAGCAGCTGCCCGTGCTTGACCTGGGGAAATAGGACAGAGGGACTGGGCTGGTCCAGGACACCAGCTGTGCTAGAAGCTGTGTCCTCGCCTGCCACAGCTTGTTCCTTGCTGGTGCCATCCTCCACAGGACTGGACAGGTACAGTGAGAGCCATGTGCAGTCTGGGGGAAGCAGGTGTTTGTGGGAATGAGTGCACATTCACAAAAAAAAACTCAGGTAATAGCCAGGTGTGGTGGTGCACACCTGTAATTCCAGCACTCTGGGAGGCTGAGGCAGGAGGATTTCAAGTTTGAGCCCTGTCTCAAAATAAAAAAAAAAAAAAAAATAGGAATGTAGGTCAGTTCACAGGTCTTAGGTTCAGTTTCCTAGTACAGAACAAAACAAAACAACCTCAAGTGGGAGAGGGCTGCCAGAGAGAGAGAGGAAAAGGAGAGATTGGAGCACTCAATGTGACTTGAGTGCATCCTGGGACAGCAAAAGGCTATCATGGGCAGGACATTTGGTGGTTTGGGTAGTAGTGGTACCAAGGCTAGTTTCTTGGTTATGACAAATGCATCATAGACTGGTAAGACAGTGACCCGGGGGAAGTTGAGGGATCTGCAGACTGCAGGCTGGGTTCTGTGAGATCACCACAGGGCCATGAGGGTACTTTCTGGAGTCATGGGTATATCCTAAGTCTTGATTGTGGCCATGGCTACATGGGTATGTATGTGCCTCAGAACCGATAGAACTGTATGTATAAAATAATCACATCATATTGGATGTAAGCTGTGCCTTGACACTGTTGACTGAGAAGAAAGAAAACAGGTAAGAAAAAAAATGCTGATAGACGTAACACTTGGACTTTGGGGGTGGCAGAAACAACCACTATTATGCGATTTATTTTCTATTTTTTAATTTTTTTTGTAATTGCAGGACGCTGCAGCCTGCAGGAACACAGGAGCAGACTCCCACCCCTTATGTAGTCATGTGTCCTCCTGACAGGGACATGTTTAGAGATATATATCACATTGTAAAATAAGACAACTCCCCTCGGGCTGGGGATTTAGCTCAGCAGCAAAGCGCCTGCCTGGCAAGCGCAAGGTCGTGAGTTCGGTTCCCGGTACTGGAGAAAAACCAAAAACAAAGAAAAAACCAAAGACAACTCCCCTCGGTGATGTAATCCTAGGGAATTACCACTGTATCCCCCATTTCACCCCTTATACATTCGTGTAAGGTGGTACATGACTGTGTATGAGGGGTGATTGAAAAATATGGTTGTATTTAAATTTTTAAAAATTTATGAGGGCAATTGTCACCTTGTCATTAATGCCCTTCGAAATACTTGCTCTCACTTTGAACACATTGATCCCATCATGTTGGAGACCACTACAAAGTGACTCCAAGCAGATTTAATATTAACCGTGTTTACTTGTGAGTTGTCTGAAGGCCACAGCTGAGGATGTCTGGCTCCAACCCCAATTAACTTCAAGGAGACTGTAGCGGTAGGCCTCTCACTCCTGCTGTGAAGGCCTTCCTGGAGATAACATAGTTCTCCTAAATTAACATAATGTATTGAAAAAGTCCTGCCCAGATTGTCGCCTTTTCTTTAGTGTCCTCCTCCTTTGTTTGTAAACCAAATAAATATGGGCTGCCCAGAACAGTCTGGCTTAACTCAGAGAATACTGAAGCGTAAGAGAGTTAGTCCGTCTTGGTGCCCTAAAATCATTACCACTGTCTGCATTTATTTAAGCCTTCGCCGTCCACTCATTGGGAGATTGCGGGCCTGACCATCCTGCAGTAACTTAGGGTTATTTAACCCGGTTTTCAACACCATCATCCTTGCCACTTTCTGAAGCAAGTCTGGAAGTCTTCTCTCATGAGTGTCTTTTATTGTGCTGTTTTGGCTGCCTTATTCTGAATGAACTCAAAACTTGAGCTTTCATAGTCATTTTGACTTTGGGGAGGGACCAGAAGTTACAGCACACCAGGTGGTGGATGAGGACACACTGTATTGGTTTTACAAGCCTGCCTTTCCAGATGGCAGTTGGCAGCAACATTCACTGTATTTTTTATCACACCTTGTAAAGACACTCAGGAAAAAGGACCTCCAGAACTGCTTCAGAAAGTGGTAAGAAGGAGGGGATAGATGTATTTGAATTGAGGGGGAGTATTTTGAGGGGCTATTAATGCCAATGCATCTTGTACTGCAATAAAATTTTAAAATGTAAACACTCAACCACATTTCTGAATACCCTTTGTATATGTCCTCGTGGGTCTCTCTCTGGAGGACCGTCACTGTTTTGGAATACCTCATCCCAGCATATGAGAACCATCCACCAAGGGTGGAAGCTGCCCAGAGAGGGAAGAAGGATGAAGACAGGTCCAGGACTGCACCAAGTGCAATTTAGTGGGGACTTCTGGACAGAGCAGTGCCGCAGGTAGCCAAAAGACAAGTGGATCCCCACGAAGTCTCACTACATATGAGGGACAAGGTGGGGGCATCTTTCTGAACCTTGTTATTGGATGAGGCTTTTCCTGTCCTTCTTGTTGTGAAATGTGGGGTCACAACAAGCATTTTATGTGGTGCTGGGGATGAAACCCAGGTTCTTATGAATGCTAACTATGTCTCCAGACCTTTTTTATTTTGAGACAGGTTTTCTCCACGTTGTCCAGGCTGGGCTTGAAATTTTTTTTTCCTTTTTTTTTTTCGTTTTTTTCCAGTACCAGGAATCAAACTCATGACCTTGAGTTTGCCAAGCAAGCGTTGTGCCGCTGAGCTAAATCCCCAGCCCCTGGGCTTGAAATTTTGATCCTCCAGTATTAGCCTGTCAGAGTGCTGGGATTATAGGCATGTGCCACCACACTCAGTTTTCAATATGAGAGTACCTTGATTGCCTGGAGTCAGGACAAAATAGTGTCTTGTGAAATGATATGTGGAGCTGTGTGTGACCTGTGACTGAGGGGTTCACGACAATGTCATTACTTCCATGCTGTAGGGACAGAGACAGACCCTGAGGTAAGGGCCAGGTGAAGGGGCACAGTGCGTGAGGCCTGTGCTTGGCTGGAGTATAAGTGGCTGTGTGGGGTTGGGGTTGTCCCCAGGACTCTCACCCATTGCCCACATGCCAGGGAGCCTGGTCCCCAAGCCATGCAAGGTCTTGCCGGGCCCTGTCCACACCACTTCCCTGTGCTCACCTTCATCCTGTGGATTTCTGCCTTCATGGTGCGGATTTCTGTCTGGCTGGCATCTGAATCCACTGAGGCGCGCATCTCTTTTGCCAGTTGGATTTTTTTCTCCCAAAGCATGATCTGGTGTCTGTAGAGGTGATAGAGGTAGTGCCAGAGCTGGAAAAGTCCATTTTCTTCGAGGGCCTCACCCAGCCTCTGAGCTGGAGTGCCAGAGACTAGGAGGCTCATGACACTGAAAGTTTACTCCATGGCTCCTTGCAGGAAAGCTTTGTCAATGCTTAAAATGCACAGACCTCAGGCACATAGGGAGGGAGGCGAGGGAGAGGAGGAGGAGGAAGCAGAAGGAAAGATGAGAGATAAAAAGGATTGAGAGAAAAAGATATTGAGAAAGGATGAAACATAAATATATAACTTCAGGAGCTGAGACAGTAAGTGTAATTGATGGAAGTTAACCTAAGAAGTAAAAGCCTGAATAGATCTATGGCCTAAAGCTGGGAGGTGTAACAAAAAGATATGGTGAATTTAAAATTTTTAAAAATTTGTTACAATAAGACACACTGCTAGTAATCCGCCTCAAAATCTTCCCCCTCACTTTGAACACACTTATACCACTGTTCTTGCCACTTTCTGAGGCAGATTCTGGAAACCCTCTTTTGTGAGCTGTGCTGTTGTGGCTACCTTGGTGTTACCGTTCATGGTCATTTTGGTCCTGGGAAAGAGCCAGAAGTCACAGGATGCCGTATTCAGTGAATAAAGTAGATAAGGACACACCATAGTGTTTTCATGAGTGTGCCTTTCTGTGGGATGGCACTCAGCAGCAGCATTCACTGTCACCATACTTTTGATCATACCTTGTACAGACACTCAGGGAAGAGCACTTCCAGAACTGCTTCAGAAAGTGGCAAGAATGATGGGATAAGTATATTTTAAGTGAGGAGGAATATTTTGAGGGGAATCATGGCAATGTGTCATTTACTGTAATACATTTTAAAAATTTAAACATTCATTGTATATTTTGTTCACTCCTTCTATTAAAATGTCACCAATGGGCTGGGGATTTAGCTCAGTGGCACAGTGTCTGCCTGGCAAGCGCGAGGTTGCGAGTTCAATTCCCGGTACCAGAAAAAAAAAAAAAAAATGTCACCAAGGACACATACTCCAAAAGCATTGGTCCCAGATGGTTTTAGGTATGGGAAGGCCTATGAAGCTGTAAGGAAGGGACAATCTCTGGGATCCACTCCCTCCAAGTGTGTTCTATACACTGAAATATACCACAAGGTGTGGACCCAGCAACCATTCCTGCTGGAGCTATAGATCCACATGCATTGTCATGGAAATATAGCCATAAGTATATAAAAACTGCTTCGAAGGGGAAGATTTTTGCTAAAAACAAAACAAGAAAAATATACCTACACAGTGTTTTCCTGGGGAAGGAGGAGAGTTGGAGTCATGTTTTTCCCTTTCCCTTTGCACATCGTTATGGTTTAAGATGCTAAGGGTTGGGTGTTTGATAAGCAGACATCATAAAAATAATACACATTTTAACAAGTTTATGTCAAAGAAAGCCACTTGATTTCCAGTGGTAATTGGCCTGGCTGGAGGGATGGCTGCCACCCAGGGTGGTAAACTAGAAGTCTGTGGTGGCTTTCTGTGGTTCTTGTGGGATCTTTGAAGGCAGGCTCAGAGCCACCCCCAGTGGTTCTAGTGAATGGTGGCCACACCCATGTGGGTACTGCTGGGATGGTGACATTTAGAGCTGATGCAGGGCAGTGCCCAGGACTCACTCTGCCTCCACCAGGCCATTCAGGAGAGTGGCCTTCTCCTCGCAGAGCTGGTTCAGCTTCTCTTGCATCTCGATGGTCTCCCTCTCTGCTTCCTGCAGGGCGAGAGCCAGAGAACGGTGGGAAGGACTGGGGATTACGAACGCTGGGGTGTGGCACCCAAGTCCCATCAGAGATGGAAGAGCTGCAGCCCAAATCAAGAACATGTGTGGCCAAGGGGACCAGGTTGGACAGGGCAGGGTGGGGCTGACCTTCAATCCACGCACAAACTCTGTTTCGGTCACCACGTTGCTGTGCTGCAGCTCCTCCGAGTTGCACCGGTTCTTGCTCAGCAGCAAGTTGAGCTTCTTCAGGTCCTGGTCCAGGTCCTTTGTGTGCCGGTCAATCTCCTTCTGCTCCTTCTTCTCCTGCTCAATCTTGCCTGCACAGAGAGCAGAGGGCAGGGTCCTTGCCAAGGCGGAGCAATAAACCTCGGAAGAGGAGTCAGGGTTTGCTTCTCCCTTTCCCCTCTGGTCCTTCTTGGAACCCCAACCTGAATCACATCCTTGCTGGTCTGGAGGGCAGGATAGGTGGTCTCTTCTTGGTGCTACTCTCCCAAAGCTTTGTCCTTTAAGGGAACCTCAGGGATCCCAAACTGAGGGCTCAGTGGGTACGGGAGTGGGAGAATGATGCAGGAGGGCTGGGCACCCTCCCTAAGGTGGGGGGGGCATGGGTGTCACTCAAACACGTCTGGTCTCTGGGAAAGGCAGACCCTAACTCCAGCCCAGCGGCCAAGATCCGGGCAGGGAGCAGCTGACAGATTTTCTTGACATCAAGATGGGAAAAGGATACCAAATATATGTAGTCTGCCCAGCTCCAAGGTTCTCCGCCTTTCCCACCACCCTCCCACCATGGGGACCCTTGACCACCCTTGTGCTCGGTCACCCACACACTCCCCTGTTGTCTTCATTCATCCCGATAGATCTCACCCTATATTGATGCTTGGCACTTTAGTCAGCTCTGGCTTTCCTACAGCTGCGTCCCGCCAACAGCTGTGTGTCTTGTGTACCCTCCACCCTCCAATAAGCTGGCCAGGTGACCCCAAGAGCAAGGCAGGAGGGCAGCCAGGCCACTGAGAAATGGCAGGGCAGAGCAGACCTGCCTGGATCTCTGACCTAGGACATCTCAGCAGCTGGCATATGGTAGGTGGTAGCCTAGGAAGGACATGCCCCCCTCCTTGAACCCTGGCATTTGGGCAGACTGGGGTGAAGTGGATAGAGTAGGGTGATAGCTCTGGGGACCAGGGAGTTTTCTGAGCCTGGGTGTAGGGGATGCTAGGATGTCAGCTGGCCCGAGTGTGGGGACAACTGGTGAGTCCCACAGCCTTCACATCAGTACTTCCCCCTAAGGGCCCTGCTTTTCAAGGTAGCAGTGCCATCTTCCTCTCTCCAGTGTCATCTCCTTCTAAGGAGCCCAGGGTCCATGACCTTTGACAGGTTCAGTCCATGTTGTCACTCTTCACTGTAGCTGCAAAGCCAGCAGCTGGGCAAGGCTCAGATTCATGAAACAAGTGAGCGAAGTGTTTCTGTTGCTCACTTTTAAGGCTGCGTGGGAACCCAGTGTTACATCCACCTTGTGGGCCCCTCCCCAAGAGGATGCCCCCATCTTGCCTCCCCACGAGGAGGCCTGGTGGGTCTGAGGGTACATAACACGGCTTACTCTCCGTGCGCAGCTTCTTCTGCTCCAAGATGTGGACCTCCTTCTTGAGCTTGTCCAGGGACACCAGCTGCTCCTCACGGTCCTGCGTGACTTTGACCAGCTCTTGCTGCAGGCGGAGCCAGGTCACTTGGGCCTGAGTCACACTGGTGTTGTGCTCTTCGGTCAGCTTGGTCAGCCTTTTGATCTCCAGCTCCAGGGGCCCTACTTCTTCCCCCTAGGAGGAACGTTGGCCAGAAAGCAGAGTGAGCCTCAGGGCTCAAAGGTCTCCTTCTGAGCGGCTGCAGAGGCCCAGGCATTTACCCTGAGTGGTTCTGCTACCTCTCAGGAAGGCTAGGAGACTCCATTGGTTCCCTGCTCTGAGGCCCCAGGTCTCCCCACAAGCAAGGGCTCTGCCCCCCCAATTGGAACACTGTCCTCCGCAGCAGGCCATCAAGGCTCAGGGACTTTGCTGCCTGAAGAGTCACTGGGTTGTATGACTTTTAGAGTTAAAGGGGCTGTACAGTATAGGGGCCCGACTGAGTGCTCACTTTGCCGCCCCTCCATGAACCCATAGTGTCCTTAGGTCACAGATGCCTGAGTGATGCATAGGATGATGAGCCTCAGATTTATTAGACCACCTTCCCCAGTTCAGGGGCAGTGGGTGAAACCCAGCCCACTGCTGTCTGTATGCCCCACAAGCCATTAACAAAATCAAAATCAAAACCCTGCTCAGGGCCAGGTGAAAAGTTCCCTTCTGGCTGCAAAGGCCATGCAGGACATCAGGCCTATGGTACCTATGACCTTTATGATCTGGCCCGAGCAGAGCAACCTCTGCCTGGAGTGTCCTCCTGCTTGCAAACAGGAAGGAGAAGAAAGCTGACTATTTTCTCCGAGTGCATTTCTGAATGTAACAAGTCCTGAAAGGGGCTCTGCTCCTACCAGGCACAGAGTGAGCCAAGTTTCCTCTCCCCACCACAGGCCTCACCCCCAGCTCAGAAACCATCTGCTCCAGCTGCTTGTTGAGGAAGTTGATGAGACCCTGCTTCCTCTCGATCAGGATCGTGCGCCGGGAGATCTCATTCTCACTGTTGGTGATGAGGTCGTTGACTTTTTTCACCTCCTGGTCCAGCTCAGTCAGTGTCTTCTGATGCATGTCCAGCCTGCAGCTGGTGTTGGTGATGTCTAGGGTGGCCTGTGCGACGTCACCATCAATTTTGGAAAGATGTGTCACCTGAGTTAGGAAAAGGGAAGGGGGAAAAGTAAACATTTTCCCCTGGGTCAGCCCAGGTGAGCTTGCTGTCTCACTTCCTTGCCTCTCTGCATGCTCATCAGAAGAAATTCCAAAAAGACAACTGGGTGAGAAGGTTCACAGCCAAACTTCCACCTCAGAAACCTGGCCAGGGCCTGCAGGCTGCAACCTAGATGGTGACTTCTTACAAAAAAAAGAGAGATATCTCTGTTGTTTTTTCTTAAAAACAGACAAAGCCTTGCTTGCAGATATGATCCCACTCTTAGAAAACCCTAAAGACTCTATTGAAAAATGGTTCAGGCTTGTAAGTGAATTCAGCAATGTAGTAGGATATGAAATTAGCATTAAAAATCAATAGCTTTACTGTATTCCAGTAATGAACTAACTGATAAAGAATTCAGAAAAACAATTCCATTCACAGTAGCTTAAAATAAAATAAAATATCGAGGGATCAATCTAACTAAGGGAATGAAAGAGCTCTACAATGAAAATTTCAGAACACTGAAAAAATTGAGGAAAGCACCAGAAGAGGAAAAAACTCCCATGTTCATGGATTGGCAGGATTAATATTGCCAAAATGGTCATATTATAGAAAGCAATCCACAGACTCAATGCAATCTCCATCAAAATACCAATGACAAGAGGTCCAACATGGCTGACTGGAGGAGGCCTTCAGTCTGATGTATTTGAAGATTCACTGAAAATACAGGTCCTCTGAAATGGAGGTGGTAGGTACCTTTATCCTGAAATGGAAAATTAATCTGAAAGGTGATACATATAGATCAAACTAAATATCTGGATTGCTGAAAAGTGGAACTGGTGCCACCATAGCTGGTCCACACTGCTCTGACCACCACTTCTCCAGGCAACAGACATCAAGACAGTGTCCCAGATGGTCCAAGAGAATGCACGAGTGCTGCAGAGGTCACACTCTTATGACAGAATCTGCATATATGGGCCCCTTCTCTCCACCCCACCCCCGGGAATGCTACTTCTCCGTATTATCTTCTCCAGTGCTCACCGTGGGCAAGAGAAACCCACCCCACCTCAGGCTGAGAGATGGTAAACACAGCAAATGGTCCCGGTGAGCCCATTGGCAGGGTTCCTCTTAGGAGCACATCCCTGAAGATAGGGAGAAGGAAACTAGACTGATCAGCTGGTCCAGAGTGAGCTCTTCCCTGTCCTTTCTGCAAAGACCAGAAAAATCTGAGGAGGAAATCTTGAACTGTGAGCACTGTCATGCTCAGTGGGGCTGGGGTGAGTCCCTAAACTAAGCCCAGGGACTATGCCAGATTTTGCTTTCTGGCTGCAAAGAGGAATTGATAAGACAAGGTAAGTTTGGAATTTGAGTGCAAAGGAAAAGATGGAACAGGCTGGGGCAGAGAATTGCTTGTGACCAAAGATGGAAAACAACACCACAACCCCAAAATCAAGCAGGGGTTGCAGTTTTACTTTCAGAAAAAGTAAACTTCAAGTTAAAACTAATCAGAAGAGGTAAAGAAGGTCACTAGTCAAGGGAGCAATCCAACAAGAAGAGATAATACTTGTAAATATATATGCACCAAATACTGGATCACCTAACTTCATAAAACAAATACTGCTGGACATAATAGGTCATTAAACATAAACACAATCATAGTGGGTGACCTCAGCACTCCACTTTCACAAAGAGACAGATAAACAATCAGCAAAGACATATCAGAGCTGAACCACACCTTTGAACAAATGGACTTAATAATTATCTACAGAGTGTTCTAACCCACTGCAACAGAATATACATTCTTCTCAGGAGAACTCAGAACCTTCTCCAAAATAGAACACATACTAGTCCACAAATCTGCTTAAATAAGTACAAAAGAATAGAATTGCCCCATGTTTACTATCAGACCATTATGCATTGAAAGTACAAATCAATCACAAAAGAAAGTACAGAAAATTTATAAACTCCTGGGAGAGTTAAAGACATCATATTACAGCAACACATGCATACTAATTTTTATAGCAGCACAATTCATAATAGTTAAATCTTGGAAGCAGCCTATATGTTCATCAATAGATGAGTGGAAAGAAAATGTGATATATATACACAAGGGAATAATACCCAATTCTAAAAAAAGAATAAATTTGAGACATTTGTAAGAAAATGGATGCACTTTGAAAACGTGACATCAGTGAAATAAATCAGGCACAAAGCTTAAATACTGTATGGTTTTCTCATTTGAGTGACCCAAAGTATAAAGTAAGGAACAAAATGATCTAAGGAAACAGGGAGAAAGATTTTATGTAATTGGAAAGGGGACCAAGAGACCAAAGGTGGGAGAATGGGAGAGAGGAAGGAGAATAAAAAGGTTTAAGATGTGTCATATATGTGTACCAACTGACCACAATGAATATAGTCATTATATGCCACAAGCATGAACTAAGTAACAATAATTGATTGATGATGATGATGATGATGATGATGATGAAGAAAATGGGGAAGAGGACCTACAGACAGAGGGAAAAGGGTGTTAAGGGGAAGAGAAATAAAAAGAAGATATGTTAAGTACATGCACCTTACTCCCTAAGATGAATGTAAACATCACTTATAGCAAACAAGTACTATGAAAAAATTTTCAAATAATTAAAAAAACCAAGGATATTCTTCATAGAACCAGAAAAAACAATCCTAAAATTCATACGGAAAGACAAAAGACCCAGAATAGCCAAAGTAAACCTAGACAAAAAAGTAAGGCTGGAGGTATCATGATACCAGATTTCTTTTTTTTTTTTTTTTTGTACCAGGAATCAAACTCAGGACTTTGTACTTGCCAGGCAGGCACTTGTGCCACTGAGCTATATCCCCAGCCCTCAGATTTCCAATTATACTACAAAGTCATAGTAATGAAAACAGCATGGCAGTGGCATAAAAATATACACATAGGCCAGTGGAACAGAATAGAGGTCATGGAACAAACCCACACAACTATAGCTGTTTAATTCTTGGCAAAGGAGCCAAATATATGTTGGAGAAAAGACAACCTCTCTAACAAATGGTGCTGGGAGAATGATATCCACTGGTAGAAGACTGCAACTAGATCCCTATTTCTCACTTTGTGTAAAAATCAATTCAGAATGGATCAAAGGTCTCTGTGGATGACCTGAAACTTTGAAACTGCTAAAAGAAACAGAGCAAACACTTAAAGTCATGGGCACAGGAGGAAGCTTCCTGAATAGAACTCCAACAGCACAGGAAACAACAGGAAGAATCAGCAATGGTGTCACGTCAAACTACCATAAAACGTTGCTGCACAGCAAGGGAAACATCTAACAGAGTGAAGAAACAGTTGGCAGAGCCGGAGAAAGTCCTTGCAACCTGCTCTTCTGACAGAGAATTGATATCTAGAATATACAAAGACCTCAAAAACTTAACACCAAAAATCAAATGCCTCAATCAATAAACAGACAAATGAACTGAACAGACTCTTTTCAAAAGAATAAATACAAATGGACAATAAGTACACAAAAAATTTCAACATCTTTAGCCATTAGGGAAATGCAAATCAAAACTATATTGACACTCCATCTCACTCCAGTCAGAAGGGCTATCCCCAAGGACATAATAAACAACAAATGCTGGTGAGGATGTGGGAAAAAGAGACCCTTCTACACTCACTGATGGGAATATAAACTAGTACAACTAGTTGAAAACCAGTGTAGGTATTCCTCAAAAACCTAAAAATATAGCTACTATATGACACAGCTATACTATTCCTTGGTACACACCAGAAACAACTAAAGTTAGCATACTGTACAGTCACTGCATACCCATGTTTACTTTGGTACAACTCACAATAGCCAAGATGTGGCAACAGCCTACATGCCCATCAATTGGCATATGGATAAAAAACAAAAAACAAAAAACATGGCATGCAGTGTATTCACAGTGGAGTATTATCTAGCCAAATAAGGAAAAACAAAATTCTCTCATCTGCTGGAAGTGAATGGATCTGGAGACCATGATACTGAGTGAAACAAGCTAAACACAGAAAGACAAGTATTGCATGTTCTCTTAACTATGTGGAATCAAAAACAGAGGACAAGAAAGTAGGAGGGAGATTATTATTAGATAAGAGGAAAGGAAGAGGGGGAAGGGAAGAGAGTATCAGGGTGGGTAATGGGGGGGTCAGATATGATCAGAATATTTCACACCATCAAGATCCCCCCAAAATGTTAAACTACAGGAGAGGGCAGGGCACGAGGGGTGGTGAGGGTGGAGATGATCAAAGTATGTTATGCACATGTATAAATCTGCCAGAATAAATCTCATTAACCTGTATCACCCATAAAAAAAAGTGAAGAAAAGATAGCAGCATACACTGTGGGGTTTGAGGCGGTAACCTGCTTTTACCTTTGATAAATCATGCTTTATATTCTGTTATCTAATTTCTAAGGGTTGTACACTACTCTGCTGGGTCCATGACAAAGTATAGGAAGCAGACATAACTGTTAGACATTCATTCCTGTCTTCAAGGACTCTTCACAGGGCACTGACTGCTGTCGCACACCACTGACAATGTGGGTGAAGAGACCCTGGCCCTCAGGGATCCTGCCATCTGTAATAAATGTTCCTTGTCTACAGAGTGCTGTGGGAACACTTAACCCTGACTTCCAATCTGTACCCAGTGCACATGTGTCTCATTTTATTGGAAAGCTGCACACACTCTTGGACAGAAGAGACCCCACCATGGAGTGGAAACCCAGTGTCAGGCCTGGGAAGCTCGACTTGACCACCCTGGCTCATCCTGCCTCCTCTGTGGGTTCTGCGGGGGGCAGAAGACAGATTCACTTGGTGCTCTTCTTGTGGGTGGGGTGTGTTGAGAGGGTGTGGGGCCCTGCGGTGGGGACCCGGGCAGGCTCTAAGGATGGGTGGAGGACTGCTGGCTCCTGTGGAGTCCTCTTCCTTAGGGCATGGCTCTATAAGTGGCTCTGCTGTTTGCTGACCATTGTGCCCTGTTGCCAGCCTCCTCTGGCCCAGGGCTTCTGGCACCCCAACCCTCCTGGGAGCCAACTCAGCTTGTCCTCCATGATACCGGCCAGCTTTGTGTCTGGCACTCACGTTCAGACTGCTGGTAAAGCCCAGACCCCATGTGGAGTCAAGGCTTCCTGCACTCCAGGCACATGGCAGCACTGTCTACCCCTATGGCCCTTCCAGGCCAGCTGGCTGCCCAGCTGATGCTTTGCCAAGGTGACCCTCACAGAAGAGTTCCTGCAGGAGCTCATTGCCCAGTCTCCCCATGCTCAGCCTCCCACAGAGGCTCCCCTCCCCAGCACCTTTCTGTCTCCAGCTCAGCCAGGACACACTGCCTCCCCCAGAACAGCCACACCACCCCTGACCTTGCTGCCTGGCCCTTGTATCCACCCCCACCACCCTCCTCTGGACTCCAGCTCTAAATGGATGAGTCTGTCTGTCCACCCTCGGCTCCTCTTCCCAAATTGTCCCTGCCCCCTCCCCTCACAGCTTTTGAGCATTCAGACAGTGTCTTTTAAGAGCCCTGCTCACACCTACTGGAAAATCATCAAAATAGGCAAATTAGTTGGTCTAACACTCTTCACTGTTCTCTGCCAGACAGAGGTGGTAATACATGCCCAACCTGTGTGGCTGCCCAGGAAGGAGCAGGGTAGGGAACTGAGGGCCTGCGGACTGGCCTTGGTTGTGCTGCCAAAGGGCTAGGCAGGCTCCTTAGCCTCCCTCAAAGCACCTGGGACCATCTGCTTTTGCTACTTGGTGGTCTTGTCCCCTGCCCCCTCCCACGGAAATGACAGGCAGGAACTCAGCCAGCAAGTACAGAGGAGCTGCTTTGAGCCCGTGCCCCTTACTTCCTTCATGTGAGGCTGCTGGTCAGAGATAGCAGCTGCCCTTCCAAGGAGGCCAGGTGGGCTCACCAGTCATGCCAACTCCTGAGCAGGAGGCACCAGGAGGCGATGGCCCTTAGGAAGCCCTGCCTCCCTCCCTCCCCCAGGCATCCACACATCTTCACAGACAGTAGGTGTGATGCTCTGACACCTGCCAGGTGTGTTCTTACAGGTACGACAGCTGAGACCAGGCTGGAGTCAGAAGAGGGACCCTTCTGGTACAGCTGACTAAGCATGGAAGTATGTTCCTGTGGCTGCGTTAACAGGCACAATGGTGGGGTCCCAAGGAAGGTCACTCAAGACCCACCCCACCTCCCAAGACCAATGTACAGCTGGGCATGATAGCATGTGCCTGCAATCCCAGCACTCTGGGAAGCTGAGGCAGATGGATCCAAAGTTCGACCCCAGCCTAAGTAACTTAACAACTTAAAGCAAGACCCTGCCTCAAAAAAAAATTTTTTTAAAGAGGGCTGGGGATACCAGCTCAGTGTGAAGGCCGTGGGTTGAATCTCCAGTACCACAAAACAAACAAAACAAAACATCTAAATAGAGAAAAATTCAGTGACTCCCCACACAATTATTTGTGTACTTTTCTCTCTGTAAAACTGTTAAAAAGTGGATTCAAATGAACCTAAAAACAGATGTGTAATGAGCGTCTGATGTTGTCTGAGGTACGTAGTGTGTCTGCAGGAATTGGGTGTGTACATGCTTGCATGTGTGAATGTGTGTTTGCATGTGTGTTTGCTCATGTGTGCAAATGGACAATGATGTGTACGAGGGTGTGCTTGGACGTGCATGTGTCTGCATGTATGAGAATGAGTGTATGTTACTGTGTGTGATAGAACAACGTCCAGGAGGAGACACAAATAGCCACATTTTAAAGGGGTCTGTCCTGGAATTGGGGACCCGAGCTGTCTTGTTCTCCTCTTCCTGCCCTTTGCACCCCCATGTTTCTCCATTAACCACGAGACCCAGTGGGTGCAAGTGGACAGCCTCAGCCTCCTGTGCTCACGTGGCTTGGGCAGCACATGCTCATTGGTAGGGCACCTTTGGCCCACCGTGTGCCTGTCCCCCAGCAGGGGCCAGCCTACCATGTTGGTCTTCTCCTTCTGGAGCTTCAGGAGGAGCTTGTGGAAGTACTTGGTCATCTTGTTGGAGGTCATGTGCTCCTGTAGTTTGTTAACGATGGAGACATCCAGTTTGTGCCGCAGATCCTGCTCAGAGTGGACTGCCTGGCGGACGGCCTGCAGTTCGCTCATGGCTGCTGCATGCTCCTGCAGAGGAAGAGCCCCAGGGAGGATGTTCCCACGGTGCCCACTGAGGGCCAGCTGTCAGCCTGGGCCTGCGGGGAGGGAACAGCAACGCACCTGGAGCCCCTTGTTGAGGCTGTCCTCCGTGTTCTGCAGGGTGAGCTGGTAGGTGTTGAATTCATCCTGCAAGGCCTCCCGCTTTGCCAGGCATTGCGTGATCAGTTTCTGCATCAGGCTGGCTTCCGTCTCAGCCCGATTCAGGATGCTGGCCAGCTTCTCATTCTTCTCTTCCTCCTTTATGATGGACTTCTTGTAGGCCTCGATCTCACCATCGATGGACTTGGCTTGATGCTCACATTCTCTGCGGGGATGGAGACAGCAAAGCCAGTCATGGGCTAGACACCAGAGATCCCAGAAGACAGCAGTGCCCCACTTGGAGGCAGCTTGTTGTCGTTGTTTATGCCCGGATGTTCCCCCAAAGCCTCATGTTCTCATAGGTGGGGCTTTGGGGAGCTGACGGGATACATCGTGGGGAGGTGGGTTGATTCACTGATGAGTTTATAGCTCAATGTGATTTTGGGAGGTAAGCATGGTTGGAGGAGGTGAGTCACTGGGGCATGGCCTGGAAGGGTCTATCTCTCTCCTTCCTCCCTGATCTCTCTCCCGGCTTCATGTCTGCCACACCATGAGCAACCATCCTCTGCCAGGCCCCTCTGCCACACTCCCTGCCTTGGAGTCAGCCAACTCTACCCAGAAACCTTTACAAATTGTGAGCTGAAATAAACCTTCCTCCTTTAATTTGTGGGTGTTGGGTATTGTGTCTCAGTAGTGAAAAAATAACTAAGACACTCATTAAACGGACTTGACATGCAGAGGTAACTTAGGAAGGCAAGTCAATAGTAGCTCAATCTTGATGGTTGTTTTTAAATGTGTCCAGAGAAGCATTACTCATTGAAAGCTCATTTAAAATGCTTTGAAGCCTTGATTATGAAGAGCAGGAAAGTAACAAGAGGTCAGACATTACACTGGGGGTTTCAGCTGCACACCTTCATTAATTCTAGAAAGAAAGATCATCTGGGTCTCACACAGGAGGGCACTGAAGCTCAGGACTTTTAAGTGACTTGCCGAAGTCCACAGGTATGGTTCAGGACACCAGATAGGGCTCATACCACACACATACACACACAAACACACACACACAATATGCATACAACAGACACAACGCACACTTGATGACCAGTTTTGACAAGGATGTCATAGTATTTCAATGGGGAAGGGACCATCTTTTCAACAAGTGCACTGGGACAACTGCATGAAGACACACAGAAACCTGGACCCCTACCCCACATCATCACCATAGACATCATGAAATAGATGGTATGCTCACACATAAGAGCAAACAAACAAAAAAAATGGCTTGGGATGTAGCTCAGGGCAAAGGCTCTGGGTTCAGTGCCCAGTACTGCAAAAACAAAACCTTCCTGAATCAATAGAAAATAGTCTTTAAGAAATTAGTGACTAAGTCACATTAAAAATGGGTCCTAAGGATAAAGGAAACACGGGAACCACAGTCAATACCCTAGAATCAGGTCATCTCACTGTCACAAGATAAAGGGAGTGCTGCACTTAAGCTGGGATGGGGAGGGTAGTGTCACACAAGCCCTGGCATCTAGCTACCAGGCATGAGTCAGCAGCACCATCAGCCTTGGTCATTTGGCCTCCCTAAGCAGGAAGGGGTGGGGCTAGGGCCTTGGTGCTCCTGTCCTCACCCACCCACAGCTGTGACCCAGTGGGTCTAAGGATGGGACATCTGCCCCTGGTGTTTATATTTCATAATGGATATGAATAAACCGGCATCCTTGCTCCTGCGCTGGCTTCTGGTGAGCCTGATTCATGTGACTGTCCCCTCAGACAGACTCATTCCCAACATGATGACAAAACTGCTCTGAGCCAGTGGGCCTGTTCTGTAGCCCCACAGGGCAGATGTTCCCATGATGCCTGGACAGTTATCTTGGTGCTGGCCCTGCCGTCCTGAGCAGAAATGTCACCATTTCCCTTCATTTTTTAAAATCCTCCATACATTTGTGCACATGCGCGTCAGTGTTCGTAAATGTTTAGCACAGTCCCTGAGCTCCCAGCCTGGAAGTGCTGAGCAAGGAAACAGTTTATTTTTGCAACACCCTGACCTTCTGTTAAACCTGTCTCCCATTTCCTTCTTCAGACATTCTCTGTGGCAACAGCGTACAATTCTCACAGTGCCTTTCCCAGCCTGTGTGTTCTGAAGACGGTCCTCACTGACCTAGGGCCTTGGCACCCCAGCAGCAGGTCAAATCAGGGCTCTTGGGGTGTGTGTGTGTGTGTGTGTGTGTGTGTGTGTGTGTGTGTGTGTATTGCTACAACATTCATTCAGTATGCCACATGTGCATCTTAAAACACAAGGTGTCTACCTTTCTTGCCAACCCAACTGGCACAATCCTAATGTGTGATCACAGGCTGAGTTGTTGAGAGTTTGAAACCCTGCAGGTGGGGCTGTGCCTGTCACAGCCTTCTCTGGTGACACCTGCAGATGTATGTTCCACGGAAGCAAGAAGCTCTAGGTTGGACAGAATTCTGAGGTAGGATACAAGAAAGAAAGGTAGGTAGAAAGGAGACAAGGACAACTGTAACTTTAAAATTGTACTTTTAAGAAAAACTGCAGATGCAAGACATATCTTTTTACTCTATCTTTTTTCACTTCCAGGAAACCTAACTCACAGAAAAAGAAATTCCCAAAAAGGCTCCTGAAGCCCGTAAAGGGGCTCTGGCACCCTGTCTTTCACCTACAAATTGCTTTCCCTCCTACTGACCCAAGTGACTTACTAGTTCGGTGGTGTACCTCAGTTTCTCACATATGGAAATGGTTGGCATTCTCACCGGATGGGCAGCCTGATAGGAACACACACCCTAGATCACTCATCTGAGGACACTCCCAAGATCACAGAAAACCCCTCAACTCCAGATCACACTGCACCTCTCTTGAGGGTCCCACTCCATGCTGGGTGTATACTTTTAAATTCTGCCTCACTTTTCAGGCCTCTTCTGGACATGTCTTGAAAAATCTTTTTCTGTGTTATAAGTTAGCAAACCTACAACCTGCCTGGCAAATGGGATGTGTTGTGAGGTCCACATGGCTTGTTTGGGGGATCTCTCCAGACTCCATCTGGGAACAATGCCATGAAATTATATGGTACTCTGCACAACAGAACAATCCTAGCCATGGTGACACACAATAGCCCCCCAATAGAAGAATGTGAACACGACATGCCTAGGCAGGAAGCTCCAGTGCTGCCCAGGGCCCCAAAGGCCAGGAACCAGTAGGTGGAACATTTGGAGCAGCTGGAGCACATGTCATTTTATTTTTGGCACCTGGAATCGAATTCAAGACCTCATGCTTGCCAGGAAGGCACTGTGCCACTGAGCTATATCCCTCACCCCAGAGCACACGTTATTAAGGGAAGGAAACAAGGTGTGGAACAGGAAGTGATGTGTGTCCATGACCCAGGAGAAAAACAGGAGTGTGTGTATGTGTGGGAGGCCATGTGTGGCCTGTGGGTACCTGGAAAGCTGGGGAGGAGACCATGAAACTTAAGTTTTGCTGAGGGGAAGACTCCACTGTCAGGGGCACCAGGAGGAGAAGGCTGTGTGTACAATATTATCTACTCCAAACTTTCAAAGATAAGGAGGGTATAGTTAAGAAGACACGGGGATGACTATGGGGATGCTTTGTAGAGGATATGGTGGCATCCTGGGGGCATGGGAGAGCCTGACAAGAGGAGTGTCCTGGTGGTGTTGCCTTCCCTGGGCCTGGAAAGGACAGAGGCCTTCAGGTTGGGCAGCTGGCCATTCCGAGCCCTCTGGGAGAGCTCTGGCCTTGACCTTATGCAAGCTGACAGCCAGCTGGCTGTGTAATTCAACAGTCAGGTCCTGAGCACCAGACTGGCAGGAGGATAAGGCTGCCCATGTAGGCTGCACGTCCTCTTCTGTGCCCAGTCTGCAGGCCCAGCAGGCCACGGCCAGCAACCCAGGGAGGGCACAGAGGGCAAGAGAGGCCCCCGGGTGGCCAAGGTTCCTCCGGCTGCAGAATTAAGGAGAAAACAAACTTTTAGGCCTCTCATAGTGACTAAAGGAACAGGTGTTTTTAATCCTGCATTATTGCGGGGGTGGGGGGGGCTTGTTTAAAAACAATCATATGCTGGGTGTGGTGGCCCACACCTATAGCCTTGCTAGTGGGGCGGTAAGGCCAGTATATTCTGAGTTTGAAGCTAGGCAACATGGTGAGACTTCGTCTCAAAACAAAACAAACCTAAAAAAGACCAAAAAAAAAAAAAAAAAAAAAAATTAAAGCTGGGAATGGTAGTATATATCTGTGATCCCAGCACTCTTGGAGGCTGAGGAAGAAGTATTGCAAGTTGGAGCCCAGATTACATTTAGAGAGAATTTGTCCTAAAAAGTTAAAGGGGGGCAGGGCAAGGGATGTAGCTCAGTGTGCAGATCCTGGGTTTGAGCCTCAGCCCCCCAATCATATATGTTTCAGTGTTTGTGTTTTTAGTCACAAGACTAAGAAGAAAAAGTCTCTCCTGGTTGTGCTATGGGCACGAAGCATGACCCTTGTCACAACTCGCTCTGAAGCACACCAGGCTCTGGGTTGAGGGCTGGAGGTGGAGATGACACATGGCAGTGTGAAAGCTCAACACATTGGAGGTGCAGAACCGGGCTGTTGCTCTCTGGGCCCCCAGTGAGGCCCCAACACCCTAGCAGTCTTGAGAATCAAGGCTGTCCATCACCCCAAGCTCTGAATCCCTCCTTTGCGGGACTTGACAAGGCTCCCAAAGGAGGCCTCTTCCCATTCTCTGGGAATTAAAACAGGATTTCAGTTGGAACACAGCCTTCCGACGGAACACTCACAAGGCAGGTTTCTGCACTCAGGTGGTGAAACTGCGAATCAAAAGGACATCTTCATGTCCTGAGATAAGCACCCCTTTATCTTTCCCTCTCCTTGGTCCTGCCAGGAGATCTGAGTGCAGGCTGTGCCGCATGCAGGCCACAGGAGCCGGAAGGGATCTGAGGGAGGCTGAGTCCTCGGCACCACAAGGACCTTTCTGGGCTCCAGGTGGGCATGGGCCCCTTTGCTTCTGAGGGTGGGGGCACTGGGAGAGAGGCAGGAGTAGAAGGATCTTGTTGCACATCTCCTGGTTCCTATGCAACCCCCAGCCACCTTTCACCCTGAGCCATGGTGCCACAAGAGGGGAAGAGCTGGGCTGTACCTGAGCACCTCCAGGATGGCCCTGTGTGCCTCGTCACGGTTCTTCATGCCCACCAGGCTGGTGGCCCATTGCTGCAGGATGTGCTTCTTCTCTACGTTGATGGCATCTATTTCCATTGAGGCCTGCGGCAGGATGGGGCACACCCAGGGATGAAGAATGCCACGACCCATGCTTTACTTAGTTTACCCTAACCACACATCAGCAAGAGGCAACAGGAAACATGACGCAGCTTTAAAGAAGCCTGGAGCTTCCATCTGTGCCTCAGTGCAAGGCCTGGGGTGGTCAGTGCTTAGGAGAGAGGAGGGGAGGAAGACACTGGCCAGTACCAAGGGAGCATATGCCCGACCTGATACCAAGGTGGGACTTGGTGGGCATCATTGACAGCGGCTGCGGTCACATAGGCCTGAGCCCCTGCCTGCCTGTGAAAGCCCATGTCCAAAGTAGAAGCATCTGTGGGATTTACTACAAGGGCACAGAGGGTTCATTTACTCTTGGGGCACAGAGGTTGAGGGGTGGTATGAGTCCAGCATGCCACCAATGTTAGTGTGCTCTGGCCAGGCCACCTTAACCCCTGGTGTCTTGATGTCACCAGCTGTGACATGGGTCCAGTGGCAGCACTTCCTTCCTCCTTTTGGGTCAGATGGGTTGATGCCTGGCTGCCCGGCCTAGCCTTGCCTTCAGAGTTTGCAGGGTACTAGGAACATTCTCACGGAGCCTTCCTAATCAATTATCATGACTTCAGCAAGTTGCTGTTGCTGAGCTAGCGGACACCAGTGACTGTGTGCACAATTCCTGCCCACAGGACACTCCAGTGTGAGGTCACCATGGACCAGAGCATTCACAGGAAAGACACAGACCCTGCTGAGCAGCAAGGCGGTGTCACCCTGGAAGCTACTCCTCTCAACCAGGAGTTTTTTAAATCATTCGCTCACCACTACTTATTACAGTGCAGAGAATGGCATGAATTAAGTACACTATGACTAGAGAGGCATTTTTGTATGGGTTAAGTTATTCACTAAGGTGCCTGCTCTGTGTCACTGAGCAGGGTGTGCACTGTCCAAAAGGACTGGAAAGCCGGCAAGTGGGGGCCTGAACCCAGCCAGGCTCCTCCCCTTCTGGGCCTGTGATGCCAGCCAGCCTCAGGGGCCCTCTCCCACAGTGCTCCCCGAGGCTGCCAATGTGCCAGTCAAGATGTGAAAATCACTACACTGAGTCTCCATTAAAATAAAAAAGGAAATAAGGGTACATGCCATATAGCTAGAATATGCAAACAAGCAAGAGAGTAACATAAATACCAGTCACTCCACTTCTTAGAGATAACTGCTGGTAACTTCTCATGCCCTTAGATGTGTTTATGTGCACGCCTGCATGTGTACAGGGTGTCACATTCTATACACTGTTTTGCAAGCTATGAAAATTCGCACACTGTGCACATTTCCATGTCGTTAAATATTGACTTTTTTGCTGATGTATCCTTGTTTATTCAACTAACACCATCTTCCCTAACATGTATAACACATGGATCTGCATTATTTTCCCAGTCAGTCTCTTCTTATTTTGCTTCTGGTGTTTTCATTGTAAAACATGTCATTTGCATGCAAGTGGGGTCATGTCCTTGGAATGAAGTCCGTATAATGACATTCCGGAGGATGTGCCACTAATGAAACACTACCCCTGATGAAGACCCCAAGACAGTCAGTGTTGAGGGGCCCAGCTTCCTTCTGGTCCCTCATCATTGCCAGCCTGGTGGGGACCCACCTGCCTTTTCTACTGGCCGCTCACTGGGTCATTTGGGGACATCTGAGGTGTGTCTGCCACATCAACATTGGGGGTCCTGGGAAGGAAGGCTGGGTCTGCCTTGGGGCCACTGCTGGTCAGAGGGGCAGAGGCACAAATAGGCCAGTGTCTGACCCATCTTCAGAGCCTCCTCACACCCCTGTGGGAGTTTAGGTGTGGCCTGTTCCCTCTCAGGAGACCCTCGAGAGAAACTGAACCCTCAAGAGATGTTAGGAGGTGAGCCCTGCCTTCGAGGGAGGGCCAATCCACAGATGGAGAGCTGGTATCCACAGGAGCCAGCATGGCTGGGTGTCTCATGCTCTTTGTTTGCACCAGGTGACACCTTGCACTGCATCAGGATCACACGGAGAGAAAGCTTCACCACAGTGGGCCCTCGTGTCTGGATCAGCACTGTGAGCCAACATCAACTCCTTTTCTCTATAACCCCTACTTTGTGGTACTGCGCTATTAACAACAGAAAACATGGACAAGCCCCATATTTGCTATTGCTTCTAAGCCTATACTCTCTTGCGCGTTCCTCCTCTTCATTTCAGTCATGGTGTTCTCAACCTATGGAGGTTTTTTCACGGTGAGATCCACGCAGGACCCTTTCCTGTGTGCTTCTGCCTTTGCGGTGGTGTGTGGAAAAGACCCTTAGATCCAGGAGTAGGCAAATGTTTTCCTTTGGGTTTTTTTCTGGTACGTCTCTCCCATCTAAATACTTGATTCCACTGGAATTTATTTTAGTATCTTGTATGAGGAAAAGATTTAATTTTCCAAATGATTAACCAAGTGTCCTGACAGTTTTCTCTGCTTATTTGTAACCTGTGGAATTCTCTATTAGCCTTGGCTTGTTCTGCCAGGCTGCAGAGGCTGGCCTGCCTATTCTTGATCCCAGTAACACATTAATTTGGCTTCTAGAGCTCTATGGTATATTTTAATATTTGGGAGGGAAGTGCCAGGGTGAACCCCATTTCCACTTTGTCTAGGACTCTTCCTGGTTTGTACGGAAAGACTTGTGTTTTAGGAAATCCTTAGGCCCCAGGCAAACTAAGACAACTGGTCACCCTACCAGAGCCTTCCCTTCCAAAGCAATTCTTGGCTAGCACTCATAATGTATTTTTCAGATAAACTCAAGAATCATTGCGTCCTTCAACATTTTTGCCAGCACTGTGGATGGAACCCAAGGCCTTATGTATGCTAGGCAAGTGCTCTACTGAAGTGGGAAAAAGAACCAAGCCAACGCCATGTTGTACTCAGGCATTAGAGCTTAAGTTACTGTTTCCTTAAGTTTGTTTCTTGTAAATGTTGTCATAGTTACCTAACCTGCTATCACCCCATGCTTTGTCATAAGACTGCTTGTTCCCTACATAAAATGTCAAACACCTTTGATCCTTTGTCACAAGCTAAGCCCATGCTTTGTAGGAGTATTTCTGTAGCTGCACTAAATCATATCAGAAAAAACCTAATCACCTCCTCCAGACCCAGAACTAGAACTGTATAAATATTCTCCCCTTCTGTCCTTTGGGGTTGGTGCTTGGTCATGTACTGGGAGCCCACCACCACCAGCTAATAAACTTGCTTGTTTCTGCATCTGGCCTCTGTGGGTGACTCAATTAAATAAGTGTGTTTGCTGCAACACCACCATTGAGCTACATCTCCATCTTCATCCTATCAAAAAATCACTGTTGTTAATTTAAAAACTGCTCTCCTCCCCAATTCTGCCTGGAGCACATTCCAGATTGATTTTACTTCCAGGCTGGTGTGCACAGGTATGGTATGAAGTCTTCTAGTCCTCTCTCCTACCTTTGCCCTGGCACCAGGCATGCTGTTCCTTGATCAGATGTGCCTTCCTTTCTTTCAGTAAAAGTTTGTTTCCTCCATGCTACTCCTTCACACGTAAATGCAGAAGGTGACTCAAGATTTAAAAATAAAACAACACACACACACACAAAGAGTCACAGTGTGGGCCTCCACAGAGCTGACTCTGGTGCTCTGGGGGAGAGGTGGGTGCTGCCTGGGAATGCTGGCTGCCCATGGGACAGAGAGTGACTAGAAGACTCCAGTCCTTCCAGGAAGGGGCCTATGGTTGGCTAAGGAACTTGCTCAGGATCTCCCAGCAAGCTGGTACTGGAAGTGCTGGAGAGAGTGGAATCCTTCGCTTCTGGCCATCGATCAGCTGGAATCTCCTGGAGCCTATTTGGGGGACCTCTTCAGACCCCATGTGGGGACAATGTCATGAAATTATATGGCACTCTGCGCAACAGAACAATCCTAGCCATGGTGACACACAGTAGCCCTCCAGTAGAGGAATGTGAACATGATATGCCTAGGCAGGAAGTTCCAGCATAGCCTCAAAGGCCAGGAACCAGTAGGTGGAACATTTGGAGCAGCTGGAGCACGTGTTATTTTATTTTTGGCACCTGGAATCGAATTCAGGACCTTGTGCTTGACACTGGGGATGGCAAGGGATACGCAGCTGCTTAAGAAGCACTGTGTGTAAGGCCCTCTCTGAACTCAGGTTTGAGCCTTGCTGAGAACACAATTGGCCTTGTCATGCATTCATCAACACTCACACACTAAATGGGGACATCTGCCCCTCCCAGTTGTAGGGCTGCCCTTACCTCGCTCACCACTTTCCTTAAAAGCCTGGTGTCCTCAGCTTGGGCAATGTACTGAGCCTCCAACAAAGAGATGTTCTCTTCCAGCTGGTTGGCCCGTGTGGTGAGCTGGTCCACATACAGGTCCTGAGAAGCAGGGTGAGAAGAGGCACAGTCAGCACCCATCTGGACAAGTGACACCAACTGTTGGCCCAAGGGAGCATGACCAAGGTGGCCACCACCACCTTCCACGGCAGCGTTCAGGGAGTCAAAGGTCAGTAATGAACATGCACTGCGTTTGCAGAATACCTGTTTTTTCTTCTCCACCTCTGCCCGCATCCTCTCCACCTCAGCTTTCTTCACCACCTGCTTCATCACCGAGATGTCATCATGCAGGTCTTGGTCGATGTTCTGCATGTAGAAGAGGTGCAGGGCCAGGTTCTCCATCTCCATCTGCAGGGCTACCACTGCGGGGGAGAGGTCACTCTGTATCTCCCATGGCCTGGAGCCCTCCTGTCAGCATGGGGCAGGACTGGGAGCTGATTTCAACTGTAAAGACTCAGGCTTTGGCACCAAACAATGCACCATCTTGTTGGAGGGAGAAAAGAGACCAAAATACAGGCAATCCATGTCCACCACTGCAACAAGCTGTCTCACTACCACACAGCAGAGACGCCCCCACCTTGGCCTAAGGATGCCCCAAATAATGCCCAGTGATAAGCCTCATGTCCATTTCATAGATTTCTTACCAGCTAAAGGGCTCAGAGCTCAGGGAGTCACACTGACATGGCCGGGGCCAGTGCAGGCCAGCAAGGACAAGGCAACCCTTTCCATCCCACCAGAGTTCTATAGCACATTTTTGTCAGTGCTCCCAGAAGAGATTGAACCCCAAATTCTTTTTAGTAAAACTCACATAAGACTGATGTATCAAAGCCAGTCTGGCCAATCTACGAGAGTTTGTTTCAAAATTTCAGAAAGTGCTGATGGTCCCAATGCTGGGGTGACTGGGCTGTGGGGATCGCTGCAGGTTTGAGGCCAGCCTGGGCTCCATGGTGAGTTTAAGACCAGCCTGCACTACATGGTGAGACCTTGTCTCAAAAAATAAAAAGATAAAAGAAAAACCTATTTGTGCTGTATTTATTTGAAATGTTAGAAAAAGTCAGTCTATCCTTTTTGATGAGTTGTGGGCCTCTATCCTGGGCTGATGAGAAACTGGAGAAGAGCAGTATTTCCTGTTAGGTGATTGGGTATCAGATTCCAGGATTATATAGGTGCTTTTGATCATCTTAGGGACTTTTCTGATATGAACAGTAATGATTCCATAACAACAAAAGACGAGCTATAAAACAAAATCAGCAGAGTCTTAGTAAGCAGAGGTTCCTACAACTCCAATATGTAAAAAGTTCTCTCTGTGCATTAATTTTCCAGATACCCTATATTATTATCTTTTTTTGGTGGGGGGACCTGGGACTTGAACTCAGGACCTCACACTTAAAAAAAAAGGGACATCATGCTTGCCAGGTAGATGCTGCACTGCTGAGCAATATCCTTGGCCCCCTATGTTCTTAAAGGAGTATCATTCTCCATGGAATGTGAGTCATTTAAAATATGTAACAGCGTGCTATTCAAAGTTAGTTGTAAGTGAGTTAGTGCTAAGCAAATTGAGTGATACCATTTTTGTAAAGCTGTTCACATGAATAATAAATACTACTGATGAGGAAGAGAAAAAAGTGCTAGAGTGTAGCTCAGTGGTGGAGCACCTGCTTAGCATTCATGAGGCTCTGGGGTCAACTGCCAGCACCACAAAACAAATACACAAAGAAAAAAACTCGAAAGAAATGTTTTTAAAAATAAAACATCACTGCCAGGTGTAGTGGCACATATCTGTAATCCCTGCACTATGGGGGACTGAGGTAGGAGGACCACTAGTTTAAGCAACACAGTGACTTAGTGAGATTTCATCTTAAAAGAAAAAATAAACAAGAGCTAAGGATGTAGCTTAGTGCGAAGGCCCTGGGTTTGGTCTCCAACACTGAAACAAACATCTCCGTGCAGCTTCCAACAGCAGAAAACGCTCTTGCTTCCGCAGGGGGCAAGTTCCAGTGGAGTTGTGTGGGGAAGGGAAGTGGAGAAGGGGTCGGGGGTTGTTCTGGGCCTCCGCACACAGCACCACTTTCTTCCTCTGGCTGCTGTAAGATTTTCTCTTTCGCTAGTTTTAGCCAGTTTGACTAGGACAGGTCTGGAGCAGTTTTCCTCAGCCACCCAGTGCTTGGGGTTGCTGAGCTGGGAACAGTGGGTTCACAGCTTTCTCCAACCGCGACTTCTGAAAGTTCTCCCTGTTCTCCTCTCCTGTCCCTATCCCAGTCTCTGCCATCCCTGCATGTGAAGCCACATGGAGGAGCACAGCTCCCAAGGGTCTGTCTCTCTCCCACTTCCGCCTTTGTCTCCTCTCTGATTCCTTTTGGGCAGTTTCTGTCACAGTGATTTCCAGCCACTAACCCCAAGGCACATTTTCACTATGACTTATTTGTGAAAATGCTGTAAGGAAGTGTGTGCCCACTTGATCTGTGGGAAGGGCCTGCTGATTGGCCTGCGGGGAGACAGAGCCCTGCCCCTCAGCACCGTGGATGAGATGCACTTGGACACCAGGTCTGATAGAGGTGACTAAGGTCAAATGAGGTCGTGAGGGAAGGACCGTAAAGAGAGGAGATCAGGGCACAGACACACGCAGAGTGGTGACCGTGGGAGGACACAGGGAGAAGACACCGTCCACCAACCAAGCAGAGGTCCTGGGAGAGCCAGCATGGCCGACTCTCTGATCTCAGACTTCTGGTCCCTAGGATTCTGTGAAAATAAAGTTCAGTGGTTTAGGGCTGTCTAGTCCCTGGAGCTATGTATGGCAGCCCAAGCGGACTAGTTCACCCTTCCCCTAAGTGTGCAAGAGCGTGTATTTGCACACTTCCAAAAGGGGACTGAGTTCAACCCCTCTTCTTTGCTGGCTGAGTAGCTAGAAAATCAATATTTCCAATAGTCTTTTAAGTTGCTATCCTTTTAACTATTAGTAAAGATAGTTTAACTATTAGTAAAGATAACCCTTTTTCTTTGTGGTTTTGGTTCCAGGGGTCTTTTTCACTTTTTGAATTTCCTGCTCATCTCCCTTTTCCTGCTGGGATATTAGTCTTTTGTGGACTTGCTCCCAAGAGCTCTTTGGGGAATAAAAACATGGCAAGCAGAATGTTAATGGCTTCCACAACTTTGCCCCCAGTGGGAGTCTGTGACTATGGTACATGCTACAAAGGGAAGATTATCAACGGCCTGGCAAGGGAGCCCTTCCTCCCTGCCTTTCTCCTCCTTCTCCTTCTTTTCCCTTCCTCTTCCTCCTTTCCTTTTCTTCATCCTTCTTCCTTTCCCTCTTCCTTTTCGACTTGTCTTTTTAGACAAGGTCTCACTTTGGTCATCTTGCCTCAGCCTCTAGAGTACTGAGAATATAGTGTCACCATAGTTGCTGGTGAGCCCTTTGAGAGCAGAGTGGTCCCTCCAGCTTGCCGTAGAGAATCAGAAAGTCTCCGAGGGTGGAAGGGAATAGACATGAATAAATTCTCTGCAGCTGACTTAAAAGTGGAGGCTGTATGGTGAGGAACATGGGTGGGCTCTAAGAGTGAGTGAGCATAACCCCTGTAGGTAAGGAAGTGGGCCCCTGCCCTGTGGGAACAAGGGACCAAGTTCTGCCAACAACATGAATGAGCTTGGGAGCTGATTTCCCCCTGGAACTTCCCCACAATCCTGCCTTGCCACCTCCAGCGCAGAGACCCTGGATCACAGACCCTGACCCACAGACCCTGACTCACAGACTCTGACCCACAGACTGGGAGCTCAGTCAGGAACCATGGGGGCTTCAAGCACTAAGTTTGTGGGAAGCAACAGAAATCAATGCAGATGATTTGGACACTGTTAGGGATGTTTCAAATATTTTTCCCAATTTGAGTTTGACTTCTAACTTTATTGTGCTTCTAGACAGGTTAAGTCCTATTCTTTTATATAATCAAATCTGTCCAACTCTCTGTCTTGGCATCTTGCCTAGCAAGACCCTCCTTACCCCCAAAGATAATCTTACATACTGTCCTCTTCTTCTGTGCTTTTCTTAAATCTTTCTTGGTACCTCAGACTTATTCTCTATGTAGTGTGACACAGAAATCTAAGGGTTGTTCTTTGTTTTTTTTTTCCGATTTCCAGGTAGTCAATATTTACAGACTTAAAAAATGCAATCTGAACAGCATGCAGCTTGCAATCACTAAACTCCAAAGTGAATTTCCTTAATGTTCTCTTTAACTAGCTGAAATTGCTCAGGGGATCAGCTGTCTGTTTTTCTTCGGGACTGTTTTGTATTTATTATTATGGATCTATATGATGCCTGACACCAGAAATGTTTTTCATTACCCTTTTTTCCTCAAAATTTTCTTGGACAGTCCTGTGCATTTAGTCTCCCGAGTGAAATTTAAAATCAATTTGTTAAGAGCAAAGGGCTTTGGGGCTGGGGATTTAGCTCAGCGGCAAAAGCACCTGCCTGGCAAGCGCAAGGTCATGAGTTCGATTCCTGGTACCGGAAGAAAAGACCAAAAAAAAAAAAAGAGCAAAGGGCTTTTATGTCTGGATATGGAATAATCTCCACTCCAAGGTGTGAAGTGAAAAATGGCAAGAACAGAGCAGTGAGTATAAAAATTCTCTGTTTAAGTTATAAAGAGAGAGAGACACACATACACCCAAGCACACACACTCTGTGATTCTGCTTATACATGTAAACATATCTTTAAAAAAATACTTGGGAGTAGAAGGTGCTGGTTGTATCTGGGGGGCTGGTAGCTGGGAGATGGGGAGGGAGCAGGCTTTTCACCTCAGTGCTCCCGAATTTTGAACTTCTATTGTTTCAAAATAAGTGAACACTTATGTTAAATAAATTTAAGTCCATCAAAAACATCTTATTACAGGTCTTTTCTCTCCATTTTTGGTTAGAATGGCTAAGGGTTTGTCTATTTTATTACTTGAAGAACCAAATCTTCAATTCATTAATTCTTTGTTTTCTGTTTATTTGTTTGCCTAAATTTCATTGATTTTTTTCCTCTGATCTTTACAACTTGCTTTTTTGTACTGACTTTGGGTTTGGACTATTTCTTGTTTTTCTAGGCTCTTAAGGTGCATTGTTAGGTTATATATTTGGGTCACTCTGTGTATGTGATGTGGGCGTTCATGGGTATAAACTTTCCTCTTCAGAGCTGCTTTCATTGTGTGCCATATATTCTGGTGTATTGTATTGGCATTATTATTTAGTTTTCTCCAAAACAATGGGAGAGAAAAGACTCAAATCAGTGCATTAGAAATTAAAAAGGTGAAATCATAACACACAGTGCTAAAATCATAAATATTGTTAAAAACTAAACATTATTAACTTTGTAAATCTGTACACCAATAA